CAGTCATCCCAGTGACCTTTCAGCCTCTCTAACCAAAACCATCAATCAATCAAAACTCTCAAAACAAAAAAGATTGCTTAAAACGGAAATGAATCCACGCTTTGGACATTAACCGTAATTGCGCAGAGCAACACGCACAGTGCGATAGATACACAGATACATTTGTATCTCATGACGCACAAACGGGTTCATGTGCGGCGGTTCGGGACCCGCCACTCCTGCCACCCACTCTCCGCCCTCCCCCACTTAATGACCTTGTAACTCAACTGTCAACTGTCAGCACGCAGCAGCAGAATGGAAACAGCAAATCAATAGCCCGGCCACAATTTATAGTATCCATGGCCATAAATTGGCCAGCAGCCCGCTTGTTGCCCGCCACATGTCATGGCTTGGGGCCAACGGAAGGGGAAGGCAAGGAATTCTGGCCAAAATAGGCTGAAAACCAGGCGAAATAGATTGTCTGGGAGAAATCAGCAGAAATCGCTTGGAGGCGCAGAAGCTCGCATTATCATACAAACCAAAAGGGTTCCACCATACACATGCCAAAATGTAAACTGTCGGCGAATTTATGTGTATGAAATTTTATGAATTTGTGAAGAAAGCCTTCGCATTGGGGCCTGACATAATGGTTAAACATTGTATTCATTTGCGGTATATAGCCCCAGGATCCAGCTCAGGGAATACTCGTCCACAACTTATGAATACGAAATGAGGAATGATAAATTTATGCGTTGAGCTTAACAGATATTTTACTGAATACTTTGCCGATTTATGTTTTATTTATACAGCTTATGTGATTTTAATAATCAATACTGTAGGGATATGAATTGTTAAATCAAAATAAAATATATCATTATATCGCTAGGTTTAAATTAATTTGTAATTGTAAATTCAGTTTCACACCTATTAATATTTTTATATTTTTATTTTGGCTTACTAGGTATTCCTAAGTCGACTTTGCGAAAAGTTAAAAAGCTCCACATTGTATTGGAAACCCCTGAGGGGATTAAGGGGATTTCCCCTTGCTGCTTCAGTTGCGCCTGCTCAAAAGTCAGTAAAAATATTATACAATTTTCTACCTATATTGCTGATTTCAGTATCCGACATAAAAAACCAATTTCTTTTCTTACTGAGTAAAACGGTCACAATCGCCAAGAACGGAAATGTTCATATAATTTTAAGAAACTGCTTATCGCATTGAAACATTTCTGTGCTCGCTTTGCTCACATTATGCACAGACTTTCGGGGGTATTAGGGAAATTAGGGGGGAGAACGATGTAGGCCGACAGATTAGAGGCGAGTGGTTCAGCGAAGAGCTATTAAAATATGAGCAACTCGGCAAATAAGAGTAGTTTCTGCGATATCGCGGCAAAAACTTCCACAGACCCTCGGGGACCAGGGGAATGTGCCTAAGTAAGCACAAACACAAAAGCCAGACTAAAGCCCCAGAACAAACCCTCAACAAGTAATGAATTACGCGTCAGACTTTCCGCACTCCTTTTAAGAGGAGCTGCAAACAATAAAAGAGCCAAAAAGGCAAAGCAGCTGAAAGCAGTTGCCAAAATGTTCCACCAACTCTGAGGTACTCACACTCTTGCCCCAGACTGAATAAATGTACGTGCGAGGGGAGTGCATAAGAGCCTGCTAAAAAGTTTTGTTCTGCATTGTTATCAGCTAAAGGAAGCGGAATTATAAAGGGCCGACCAGAAACAAACAAAACATAAAACATGAAAAACAAACCCGAAATCAGCAGAAGCCCAACCAAACGCAAGTTTTGACAAAAGATCTCGTTTTTCTCAGAGGAAGGAGTTACGGTTCAGCTTTTGTGCTAAAGAAATCTTTCAAGGAACAACTTTCTCAGAGAGATAAATTAGTAGGTCAGTTGTAAACAGATTACAGGAAAAGGAAACTACGAGGAAAAGGAATTGAGAAAGTGCATCTATGTAATAGGACAATAGGATTGGGGATCCCATAGAAAAATATTTTAAGCTAATTAAGAAGCAAATATTCAGCAAACAAAATAATTATTGCTTCCGAAGTAAAAACATTAGAACCACATTCCTTTCAGTCATTATTTAATAAATAAATAAACCTCAGGACAAATCTAATGGCCTGAAAAGAGGGAAGTCACCATATCACCTACTCGAATTCCAACAACCTGTCACTCGTCTGTCCAAATTGGATACTATTGCCTATCCGCTCTCAAACTTATCAAGTGTGCTTTAAACTGGGTTAAGGTTGGGTTTATCAGCACCGCCCAACTACTTGAACGTGCTGCAGAGTAGTTCCGTTTGACGACTGATCCGAGCACTCCTCCCCCTGAGAACGCCCATCAATCCCTGCGACATACCGTACATTAGATACCAGCAAGTAATTCGATCTGAAGCCAAAACGTGCAGCCAGCTCGAAGACAAAGAATATTGTATAATGTTTTTTTCCCATGTACCACATTTTGACAACTGTTTTTTGCTCGTTTTTGCTGCAAGCTAAACTGTTTCCCTAGTTCTCGTTCTTTTTATATCCAATAGTGAACGTGCAGACGTGCGAAACCCAAAAGAAGAAGAGGCCGTACAAGAAGAATTGGAAGTTCAGCTGGCACCTGCTCGATATTATACCATAACTTTATTCCACACTATCACGAATGGCACACACTACCAAAGAATGGACCATGATGTAAGCCCAGTCAAAAGGCATGCTAATATGCGGAGTGATTAATTCATCGAAATTAACATAAATGGCAACAGCTTCAACTTTTGCCGCCTGACCACAGGTGGCCCCCTATCCATACCCTTACCTTTGGCCCAACCTTTACCCTTTTTTCTTCACCCTGACGCCACTGGCCGACATAAATAATTAAATTTAATTGCCGTTGCTGCTTCTTAATGATGCAACCAAGCATCAAACGAGCCAAAGAGCCGAAAAGACCTCTGAACCCAGGTCTCTTTTTCACCTGAAACCCGTTTTTATGAAAATGGAAATGAAATTAAACGAAGCTCTCGTCGTCACAGGCAACAAACGACAAGTGACAGCGATGAAGGTACATTTTATGAAATTAAGCAAATACTAAATGGAAATATAAACCAAGGAAAAACATTAGGAAAAAAGAGGCTTTCGCAGGCATTAAGACAAACGACATTTTCCCTTGTCACAGGGAGTTGATTTAATTGAAACGGATATATCAAGAAAATGATATATTACTGCAAATAAAAAAGTTATAAATGACCAAATTATGCAGTAAAAAGCGCACAGTCATTTTTTTTCTCACAAAATGTTAACATTAGAAAGCAAGACTTTGCCATCACGTATAATAAATCTAGACTTTAATTGACTCTCAAAGCACGGTTTCAAGTTCCACAGTTTGGAAACTATGTTGCTCATTATAAACGTAATACAAATTTGGATCTGTAATTCAAATTTGAAAAGATAAGTCCGATTACCTATAATTTCCGTAAGCCTTTATAGATATGCAATTAGTTAATTATGTGCTAATAAACGTATGTATAAATGCGCCCAACTTGACAAAGGATGAAATTAATTATTTTTATTTAGACAACCAAATATTCCATTATGATGTCTTCCCCTTCAAAAGATAACACTCGCCCCAAAAAGATATCTAGACCAATCTAATCTTATCTAATCTATTTTTACACATGAGCAACTTGCAAAGACAGTCGCCCCACAAACCAGTTGAAAATAATACTTGACCAGCTGAACTGGTTCTTATTTATGCCAAAATGAACAATCTAAAATATAACAAAATAATTTGTATATTAGACGGCTATAATGAAGCTACTCTTTCTAGCCATGACACCAATCCATCCCACAATCAACTGTCTAATCTAGGCGGGTCTAACTAACGAGGCGACCGTCTTTGATAATTAATAACAAAAGGGGAACATTTTGGCTTTTTGCTTTTTGTGCCTGTGATTCTAGGCCAGGGAGTTTTTCAGGCACAAACCAAAACAAAAACCGGCAAAACGCACGGAGCCAGACGGTCGAGGAACGAGGCTAAAAGAGTGGGAGTTGAAGAGGTGGGTGAAGTGCTGCCATGGCAAAGCCAAAGGCAAAAACAAAGCGGACCCATTCAAGGGTTCTCCTCGAACACAAATACACAAGCATAAAAAACAAACACAGACACAGCTGCTAGGAGAGCAGAAGGCGACTATAAAAATCAAATGAAATTTATTGATTTTTCTTTGCCAGTGCCAAAAAAACGAGGAGAGCCCAGCAAAGTGAAGGAAATGGCCAATAAAAACTAATTTGCAAACAAAAACACACATTTTTTGCAAAGTAACGAAAGAACTTTTGATACTCTGATAGCGTATAACATAGCATATTTAATCTTACTCGCATATATTTTTAATCTTAACTATTCTATCAAGTTCTATTAAAGTTTCAAAGATACTAACTAAAGTGAAATATTTACTTGAAATAATTAAGTTGCTAAGACTTAGTAAGGGGTGTCAAATTTTAGGTTTCAAAAATGTTTCTTTCGGAATTATCGAAACCATAGTTTGAAATGTAATGAACAGACTTTTAACCACTTTTAACCACTGAGAACAGACTTTTAACTATTTTATGAAAATATAGGGAAATTATTTAGATTGTTTTTTTTCATGTGCAACTATTTCAGAGGGAATGCATGTTTATGTTTTGCATTGTTTTTGTTTCCAGCTGTACTTGATGGGTGTACTTATACTAAGACTAAGACAAGAACAAGAACAAGAGGTGGCGAAAGAAGAGGTAACATTGTAAAATGTCAGCCCAAGTTAACGGTGCACGCACACCAAGGCAACAACCAAACAACACAACAAACATGAATGTTTTGTTTGATCTGCTGTCAGGCGAAAAAGAAATGGCGCCAGTGGGCGGGGAGGGGAGAGAGGGTGAAAGGTGGAGCAGCAGGTGCAGCGTGAGAGGAAAGGAGATGGCATGTCGCCAGGTCGCGTGTTTACAACGACTGAGAAGCTCTCCTTTCCGTTATTTTTGTACAAACTTACCCCGCTTTCTGCTCTCCTCTTTGCTCCTTGATTCTGCTGTCAAAATTTCACAAGTTCTTATTCCGCTAGTGAAATTCACTAAAAATATACCCTTTTGCGGTTGTGTGTTATGTTTTCAATACATTGATTTCACTCAGTTGCTTTGAGCTATCTCGATTAGCATGCTTTAATTTGTAAGTGGAATTTTCACACTATTAATTTGTAATTTCTGATTTTTTTGCCATTTGCATATTTATTTCACACATTGAAAGCAACTTCACAGCTGACTGTGATTTAAGTAGTTGTTGTTTGTTTTTTCACACACACTCCGGCAGAGGCACACGCACACACACACCTGCGTAGGTGTGAAGAGTGGAAGAGGAAGAGAAATGCAACGGATTCACTTTAGCACGCGCGCTCTCCCACTCGCACTAACGGACCGACCGCAACCTACTAATTCAACGGTCAAAAATCGACTGAATTTCAATTGAAGAATGAAGACTTGTCATGGGGTTTTAGCCGGCAACAATGGCTGGCAACATGTTCGAAGTTCGAGGTTCGATGCTCGAGTTGCAGGTTCGATGTTCGATGGGGTGGTGGAACGGGAGTGGACGTATGGGTCACTTCTTTCTTTCTGATAAACACTCGCTGATAAGGCAACACACACAGAAACCCTTTGTTGTTGCCCACCCCGACATTGTTGTTAGTCTGTGAATGACAAATGAGCCCGTATGTGGCGAATGGTCTATGGAGTATGGAATTCGGAGTAGGGGAATGCAAGAGCGGTAGACCCTTTTGGACACGAGGGAGGGCCACGGCGATTGGATAACAGCTTCACAGAAGTTCTCGGCTCCTAATGAGACTAATGCCTAGAAAGACAGTTGGAAATCAACTGGAATCGACATTATGAAATCTCTGCAACATTGCCCTTATCACCATGATAAACACAGTAAAAAGGAAACTAATTAAGCATAGATATATATTATATATTTTTGGGACTTATTTCTACTACCCGTTTTATCTAGTCCTAAGTCTCAACTGCTCATCACTGAGACAACATCGAACATCCGAACAGGTTCGCCAAATTTAAGCCGGCTGGCAACTCGAACAGCAGCTCAAACTTGTTGACCGCTGCACTTGTCGTTGGCCATCTGAATGCACGTGGCTCATTTGCATATGGGAGCTGCTTCCATTGTTGCTGCTCTTCTGGGGGGGCAGTTGAAGGCAGTTGCCGCAGGGAATTCAATTCGCAATCTTTTGATTTGGACATTAAATCAACGTTTTCAGATTAAACACGAATATTAATTAAAGTTTGCCAGAAGTTGGAAGTTGATCGCGGCGACGACAGATTCCGTTGACTTTCGGCTAACAACTTTCTGTGCATTTGACAGAGCATTTGACAAGTGCAAAAAAAACCGACCACGAAATTGACAATTTGCAACACCGACGGAAGCTGTTTTTCAATTGCTTCGCTTTAGCACCACCCCCCCGTTCCCCGCATTTTCCGACCGCCGTTCGTTATGGACTTTTCATTGGTTTTGTTTGGCCCTTTCAATTGAAACATGGCCAAGTTTTTGGGGAGCGAGAGAGACGACATGGCGATAGGGAGAATTGGGAGGACGACACCAATCAACTTTTTCCTCTGCGTTGCATTTTTCATTAGTTTTTCTTATGCAGCGAAAAAGTTTTCTTGGCCCCAAAACGAGTCTCAAGTTTTCCACTGTTTGTTGTCATCTATTGATATCTCAAGTTTCTGTTTATACAACTGCATTTGGTCATATACACACATTGCACTGCCTCGCAAATATTGGCAATATGAACAATATGGTTGTACCAGTAAGTGCATGTGAGCTTTATACTATATATCAAGTATAAATATTTTCCGACTGTTTATCATAAAGCGTGGCATTAAATTTGTTAACTGAGAACTTATCAATTTTTTCAATATCGACATCTTGACCCATTGCAAGTTGGCTAATTCTAAGTTTCCGATTACTTATAGGAAGGTAACCCGAACATGCACTCTTACTATTTAAATCCGTTGTTCAATTTGTCTATCTCTAAGTTAAATATATTTTGATTATTATTAATATTCCGATGAATATTAAACGGTAAGACCATTTGTCAATAACTTTTTAAAAGCCTCCATTTCCGAAATGACTGGAAAAAGCTAATTTCAATACAGCTGTGCCACCTGTGATTTTGATTTGATGGCTGTTTTCGTTGGCGCTGGCAATTTGCCGGCCAATTGAAAATGCAATGCACGCCCCAGACAAAAACTCATTTGCAACACTTCACGCAACGCCGGCGATTTCGATTTAGCCAAGATCAAGGGCGATAATGCCCGCAGCAGCAACTGCAGCAGCAGCAGCAGCAGCGGCAACAACTGCTGCAACAGCAGCAACATCGAATAGCTGCAACAGCAACATTGGATATATGTACATTGCATTGCGTGCAACAACGTGATGCAGATATAAATAGCCAATGGCAAGAGCAACTTGGCCCTTATCCATTTTGGTTGATCTTTACGCACAGGAGGCAGCAACAACAACAACAGTAAGAACAACATCTGCAACATCTGCAACACAAACACAAGCTGCAACAACAACATTCCTTTCGACATTTAATTAACGATCGCGATTGCAATCAAAGCAGTTCTCCCACACTCCCCACTCCCCGCGCAGGTTGTGAATGGATCCCGGCCAGGTTTGCAGGTTTACTGGTGGCCAGTTAGTTAGTTAGCCCGGCTAAGCTGACAAATACTGTAATTAATTTTAATTGCTGCGATTGGCGCTCGCTTTCCGTCTCATTAAAGATTGCTCGCGCTGCCGTGCTCCCTTTTTTTCGCCTTCAGCTGCCGCCGATTTTCGCTATGATAAACCCTCGATTCCGAAGTATGCCCCGGGATTCCGTTCGCCATTCTTGGGTACGTGTTTTTACACCTAATTGCTGGAAATGTCGCGTGGCAAATATTTTGTCGCCATCAAAAGGCAACTCAATAAAAGCTGAACAACGAGCGGCGAATAAAAAACATGTTTCTATAGATACACTGGCACATAAACATACATGTTCAGGAAAAATTCGGCATAAGCAACCAATTCAATAAATATTATAAAATGTAATTTCAAAGTGTAATATAATGGTTAGTTTTACATATAAAGATGTCAGTTTTTCCCTCTTCAAAATCAAAATTGCTTGCAAAAATCTTACCACTTTCTAGAGGTTGCCAATTGGTACATCTAGGAGCTTAGATAACCCTTTATTAAATATTAATTTCTCAAAAAAAACTTATTTTACTGTAAATATAACGCCAGCAAGTTTTTCTCACTGTATGACCTCTTACTCATATTTTGCAAACACTTGCACTTTGGTTTAATGGACTATGGAAAGTGCAAAATGGAAATAAAAATGTTCATTTCTCGGGTCCCCGCAGGCTCCCAGTGGAATAATCATATAAAACACTTTTCGTTTGCAGTTCATTGAGTGAGCACAAATCCAATTAGATTTTGACTCGGCTTAGCTTGCAGACACGCCCCCCGAAACCCCCCAAAAACATACGAAAGCCCAACGAAAAACACCGAAAAACACACACAAACACAAATGGAGTGCCGAAAAATCGTTGCATACTTTGCAGCAAAAATTTCCTCAAGTCAATTTGCCTGCCATAACTCTTGACTCAAGTTCAGTTTGTTTTGCTGGTGTGAGTGAGCGGAAGTTGTCGTGTGTGTGTGTGTGTATCTAACTGGTTTTTGTGTTTGTGTTGGTTTAGTGACTTTAACTTGTGGGCCGCAGGACTGGCAATTGGTTTGACACACATAAATAGTTTATGCCGCATTGCTGATTATTGATTTTGCAACCAATTAAAATTCCAGCACAAACAAGACTGCAAAGCGATTTGATCCTTTTGGGTATTAAACTACAAGCTCACAGTTAAGCTGAGGGGCTTAAAACGACTTCACATCTCAGGCTTAATAATTCAAATAGAAGGATGTAAAGGCAAATGTGGAATATTAAGAACTAATTTTATAAACGGCTTAAAGCATAAAAGGCTTTTAACAGTTTATTAAAACATTCTGTGCTCGTTAATATACAATAAAGTTCTTAAATAATACTTCGATGGTATAACTATGACATATTGAAATCCAAAGTAGTTATTTATTTTGTTTTTTCGTTATAGAGTAAATATATAACAATACATTTTTTTCAGGGTTGTTAAATGATTTAAACTCATGGGCGCAATATTAATTTACTAAAAAATAAATCAAGTAGGATAAAATCTCCTATTTTGTATTAACCCGTCCAAATTAAATTCAGTTCCACACAGTGTGCTCTTTTATCTCACTCAATCATTCCATCAATAGTTGTGTTCATTTAATTCATGCTCAATTAAGCTGCTTAATTATGCCCACCAATCAGGCATTGAATGTGTAAAAACATTTTAATTATTTTTAAAAACAATATTCATGGTAGGAATATGTGCAAACATGACGGGTAATTAATCAATATTAATATCAACCTGATTACTGGTATTTACCGCAGCCCTGTGCCGACAACCGAGATTAACATAAACTGTCAAGGACCAAAAACAAAGGCCATAACGAAAAAGTTTTTGGCTGGGACACACAATTGAGAAGCCATAAACACATGGGCCAACAAAAAAAACTAGGGGTGTTGGTCTGGATCTGGATCTGGAAAAAAGCGCTGGCAGCCAAAAGTTGCAAAGTGCAATTTGAAAAACAGTAAATATAAGTCGCGACTGGGGAGATTCAGAGGGGGGAAGGGCGGTCTGAACACGTACAAAACTGGCACGGAGTCACGAAGGTATTTTCGCATACGAGTTTCCCCGTATCCTGGCGCAGGATCTCTGCGTGTATGTAGATGAGCAGGCAGTGACATGACTTGGCAGCTATTCCTATTTGGATGCCCCTGCTTCCTGCCAAAAGCCCCGCCCCCTTTTCCTGACAAATGGCTCGAGGAGCGGGGCGTGGCAGTACAGGTGTTTTGTGGTAACAGGGTGGGGAACTGTCGGGTAAATGGTAAGATGTATTCGCCCAAAGGTGCAGCTGAGAATGACGAGAATTTATGATGGTCCCCGGCTCTGGGCAGAGTTCTCTATTGAATAGCGAAGGGCTGAGGACGGGGTTTACGATTTGTAACCAAGTTAAATTGAAATACCCAGGGGTTGTCGTTTGGGGGCGTTTGAGCGGCTGCCAAGAACACAAAGGTTAAAGCTTAATTTCGTGGCCAAATTGGATTGGGGTATCCTGAATCGAAATTCGATAATCAAAGGTAAATGTGTAAAAATATTGAGCATATTACAATTTTGGCTATGTGGACGATTTGTACTCAAATTGGTAAATGTATGAATATAAAGAAACATTAAGCTTTGAATGCACTTGAATTAAATAATTAAAAGTACAAGTCCTTGTTCAGTTTTTATCAATTAAAGCCCTGCAAGAACGATTTTCTAAATACAACTTCAAATAGCAAATAAAATGCAACTAAAAAAATAAAAAAAAAAGTCAGAGACTTCAATTTAATTAGCCAGCAGCTAAGAAGATTAAAGGCGACTCCTGGAAAAGTTTACTGCCAGCTCCTTGGGAAATCCCCTCAAAGAACGTATATCCTTTCACTACGGACGCCATTTATTGGAGTTGTGTGAATGCTTTTAAAGCTCCTCGGTTCACAAACATCGGCTTATGCCCACACACCCAGCTATTTTCTCATCTGGCTGATGCAGTTGCAAGGACGAACAGACGCTTCAATGTCCTTGCCATGCCACCGCCATCATAATTAGTATCCTGTGAAGACATGTGTGTGTGATGCATGTTATACTCCACAGCACTAGCACAGTGCAGGTAGGTTTAAACACTGGCGGTCGATGCATTAGTGCTCCTTAAATGTCCTTGGAGAAGAAAAAGTACTTACTTTATGTATTAAACTATTTATAAAATTAGGAGAAAATCAAGGATAAAAAGAAATAGTTTTAAGAACGTACAAGCTATGCGGGGTTTTATCGTTAAATAATTCTTACGTAGTTTATAACAGTTGATTAGTAACAGTGAAAATATTATTATTTTTCTGAAAAATATATTTCAGTTCAGATTTCAGAAACCAACACCTATAATCTTGCTCACAAATATGCCGGTCAGGCGGCGTTGTTAGCCAGTGATATATTGGCATTTAAGCCGGGTCAGAACAACGACTGGCTGGCAGGCTATATCGCCGGCCTGGGCCAGAGCTTTAAAGGACAGTGAATGAATAATGCCAACCAATTTGCCCAGGTGACAGGTAACGAGAGGACGAACGGAGAACAGAGGAACGTCCTGCAGCCAAGGACTTCATTAAACTGCAAAAATAGAATTAGAGCACATGGCAAAAGGCCGAGCTGCTTAATTACAGCTTAGACCTCAATTAAAAAGGCCCCAAAGGCAGCCCACCGAGTGGGACAGAGTGTTGGAAAAGCAAACCGAAGAAAAAGTAAACATTTTCACATTGCCGGACAACAATCCACTTCGAAGTGCCACGGCTCCTTCATCCGATGACTGCTTTTCCAGAGGGCGGGGTGAGTCGATGGTGATGACCATAAAACACCTTGGCTAATTTCCGCAAATTGTTACAGCTGACGACCGACGGAGTGGGCCAATTCAGCCCACTGAAATGAATAAGGAAGAGGGAAATAATAGCGAACAAGAGAAACCCAGAGTATGGAAATAATGGTAGTTTATCTCAACAAAAAGGATTCAGTTGGCAAAGGAAGGTATAAAAAATATGTAGAACGAAAATTATGGCTTAAAGAATAAATTCCATGTTGATTTGGTAAAATGTATTTTTTGAGCGATTTTCACATTTTTCACTATGATTTTTGGCGAAAACTGGACCAAAATAAAATTTTTTTGCTGAGAACACCAATGGATTGGAAATTTTGTACATTCCAAGATCTGACCATTATTTCCAAAGGTTTTGATCAAAAAACCGAAAAATTGATCTGATTTGTTCCGAATCTTGGGCAACAAAAACCTGTATTTAAACACACATTTTTAAGGGTATTTGTTGTATCTTTGCCAAAATAAGACGCACAACCAAAAGAATGACTGTTTTGTGCAGCTAAGATCCTATACAATCAATACCAGGTTGATTTGGTAAAATTTATTTTTTCACCGATTTTCGTATTTTTTATAAGGGGTAACACTATGATTTTGGGCGAAATCTGGCCCAAAATAAAATTTTTTAGCTGAGAATACCAATGAATTGGAAATTTTCTACCGAATCCAACGAGGTATGACATTCCAAGATCTGACCATTATTTCCAAGGGTTTTGATCAAAAACCCGAAAAATTCAGATGATTTTTTTCGGATTTTGGACATCAAAAACACATTTTGAATAAAAAGCAGCAGTAATTTATGGTGTGCCGGCTTCATCTTAAAGTATGTATACTTTATTTACAACGACCAGCAGAAGTTCTGAAATATCAGTTCATTTACCTATTTGCAAATATTCGATGACCAATATAGGAAACCTTTCATTTATTTACTGCATTCTGAGTTAATTGTCCCATTATCCAGTGTTTACAATCACAAAGTCGGGAAATGGCGACCCATCAGGTAGACATGTCGCGAGTCCACGACCGCGTAAATAAACGGCCTAAGAGCCTCGAATTGCAAGGGTGTCTCCTCCTGGGCGAAAGCCCGCTCGTTGTCTGTCTCCTGCTGAGCGATTTGCTCGCTATTTGTGGAGTTTGAAGTTCCCGCATTGATGCCCTGGCTGAAGATGTTGATTTTTGTGTAAACTATAACGTCATCCAACGGCAGCTCAGTCCTGAAGGCGTTGAGATCGGCTGTGGTCTTGTTGAAGACAGTGATTATTCCGGCTTTTCGCAGAGGTTCTCGTAAGTTCAGAAGCTGCCGAGTGTCCACCTTGGGCAAACTGATGTTCATCAGGGTTATTTTCAATCGGCTCCTTAGCTTTCGCACATCCACTGTGCGCAATCTGCCCCCAACCATCTCGACATTCGCCTCAGGAATGGGCAGCAGGATCAACAGGAGCGCACTGGATTCCTTCAGAGCCAGTCCCACAACTTGGGTCCCCAGCTCCGGAATGGATCCGTACCAAGCCAAGATCCTTTTGGCAACCAGAGCTCGCTTTTCAATGTGGAAGGCATACTTAAACTGCGCCTTAAAGTCCAGGACATTGAAAAACAGCAAGCGATTCGCTGGATTATAGTCGTCTAGTAAGTCCTGCAGACCAACGTTGATTTTTCTCTGGGTTTTAAGTTTCAGAAAATTGTTGAAGGGCTTTATGTCCCGCTTGGCGAAGTGCGACCTGTAAACGTACGAGTCCAGCTCGGCAGCATTCTTTAGGAATCCGGGATCTATATAGATATCCGGTCGCAGTGCAGCAACTGTCGCGTAGGTCAGTTCCCCACTCTGCAGAAGATGCCGGGCAGCCAGGCCACTGGCATTCGCCCCTTTCGGGTATAGAAGTCCATCGATTTCAGCCGCCGATTCTGGACCCACTGCGAATAGAAGCAGTCCCAGGGCCTGTGAAACCCCCAGTGGCGAGATCAGAAATCCCCGGTTGCCGTCCATGGTGGAACTGACATGGTTGTAGAGTTCCCCAGCAAAGTTGTAATCTCCGTAGTTCCCCTGCCCTTTGCTTCTCGCCACGGGCGTTTCCTCTCCCTCGGCGGTTTCCTCGGCCAAGATGGTTCCGAAAAGGAGCAGAGGTAGTAAGCCAGCGAAAGCCGCCATGGTTCGTCTTGAACTGCCCGTAATCCCGCCCAGACATTGACTTCCCCAGCCAACATCGATTGGTCAGGGGGATTGCACAACCGTTCGCGGTAATGCCCTTATCGCTTTCCGCTTTACGTACACTTTACATTTTCCACGCTCCTCGCACGAAGATACGAGGGATTCGAGGGCTACGTGCACTGGCCTCCCAGGAGTCTCGACTCCGCTCCGCTGACGCCATAAATTTGCAGCGCCAAAGTGATAATGAAAGTGTTTCCTTCCGTTTCGGCCGAACAATGTGCCAAGAAAAGCGACACCAGCCGGCAAAAAGCCCTGGGGAAAAGGGTAATACGAAACATGTTGGCTAAGGGGACATTTTAGATACCCTCAAACACAAGATACAAAAAAAGCTTAAAGCCGATTTGTTATGTAATATTTTTTTTGGTTATAGCTATAGTTTTAAAAATAATGTTTGTGAATAAAAAATTAAAAGTTTGTTGAAATAATAAGAATTATATTTCAAGTTAATCTAGAAAATAGAGCCTTTTTAAATTTATATTTATATTATTTTTTGGCAGTTCCAGTTTTTGTCTAATGTCTAACTTGCGATTTTTTTTGGACTTCAATATTATTCTTAAAATAAATCCATTTCCTGTAAAACTTTCAGAAGTCCCCCAGTAATTCAGCCAGTTACATTAACGCTATTCGAATCAACTTACCCCTTTGCGAAGAGCTGCATAAAACAAAAGTCAGCTCGAGAGCAACGTGGCGTATACGCAACTTGGTTACCTTGGCTTTCCTTCCGCCGGCATCTTTCCCCCAGCCCCCCTCCCCCTTGGGCCATTCATCTTTCTCTCTTTCTCACCGCTGCGCTCCGTCGCCTTTTCACTTGGCTTGTTTATTGTTTTCCGCTCAGCGAGAGAGAAATTCAATTTCGGCGGCAAACACAGCGCTACAAACAAACAAACAGGCAAACAAACACGCGGGTGAAGCAAATGAAACGCAGCAATTGCTCGAATTGCATTGCTCGCAGTGTAAATCCCGCGATTTATGCCTTGGGAAAAGTTGTCGGTTCCTTGATTTTTCTTTTGTCGCACTCAAAAATTTAATTGTGCGCTTAAAACGTTACTCTAGACAGTTGGAAAAAAAGCAAAATAATTAAAGCGCTGTGCGCTTTCTTCCAAGGAAGTTAAGGTCCAGCGGAAGAAAAACAAATGCCAAGGAATTTCCCGGCCGTTTTCCGCTTTTGGTGGGATAAAAAAGGGCAAAAATAAACGACTGTCCTCGGGGAAGTCTTTTTCGGGGAAATGGGTGAAAAAGAGGATGCAGAGGATCGGACTGAAACACTTTGCACAAAATGGCTGCCAGCCAGTTTTAAGTTTTGTTTGCTCTTTCCTGAACGCTTTTAGCCCCCCCTGGGAAAACGTTGCTTTTGTTATTTGCGTGACATTTTTCCGTTCTGAAAAACTTAAGGCGAGGAGTGGAAACGAAGTTGGAGGAGGGCCACCAAATGGAACTGGTGGAAAACTATGACAAAAGATTGTAGTGGCAAAAGTTTGCAGCAACGTTAATTAATTTTGCGTTCGCCGGAGCTTGAATTTCGAGCACGGAGAGTTCAGAGTTCAAGTCGTTTTCCAAGCCAAGATCCATTTATATGGCGTTAATGAAGTGCACTAAGATGAAGGCTTCCCGAAACGTCTAGATGATTAAGTATCCCTAGGTTAATGTCCAACGATATTGGTGGACTACAATGTCCGCAGTTTCCTTCAAGATTTAAAACTCGGATTTTAAAGGCAATCAAAAATAAATAAATAGTTCTTTTTTTAGACTTTTTCTGATCGAGAATATACATTATAGGGTCGTCAATGCCACCTTCATTGCATTACCAACTTCTGACCAAAATAACTCTATGCAAGGGTATACATATTAAATCCTATTAAAGTAAAATATTTCATGTAGTTTTCTCTAGATCTTAAAAAAATTAATGCAAATTAAATAGAGATTAGTTAAGGTGTGGATAATATCGGAGATAGGTGTGTGACTAATTTCAGTTCCTACTGTCGTTAGTTGGCGACAAAAGTTTTTAATAAGCAATCCGAGAAGGCAGAAAATGAAATGTAACTAAAGCATAAGCCAGCTAATAAAAGGACATAACTTGAATTATACATTTTCATCAACATTATTTCAGATCCTTTTTGGTCGAAGCTCCTGGTATTGCTATTATTCCTCGGTGGAAGCATATCAAGTTTCAGTTTAACCCCTCAACTGATTCACAAATGGGTTTCGGGTCCCAAACACATTCCGCCTGGCGTTCTCATCTACCATCCCGAAGTGCTGAAGGCCCTCGAAACGCTTGCAGTTTTAACAGATGGTGAAACCCACAAGGAGTTTGATGGCTTGCATGTAAGACCTCTTCCGAAAATAAATCAGGACTTGTGGGTTAACTACACGAATACGCTGCTCTTGAAAGCGGGCACTGAAGTACTCGATTCCGGAAGAAAAGCTATCGAAAACCTAGCCGCCCTTCAGTTTATAGACTTCACCTACCCGAGGCGCAGTCTCTTTAAGTTCAACGAAGCCTTGAAGGATACCCACCAGAATTCCTACTTTCCCTCGGTCCTGCAGCGACGGTATATACACTGGGACACCCAACTGATATCCGTGGGAACCGCCACAATGACCGCCCAATGGGTCCACAATTTCGAGCCCAAGAACTCCGGACTACGGGTCTTCCACTGCCAACTTGATGAACACGGCGGGACTCGACCGGTGGCCATTGACGCGATGTCCATACAAGGAAACTTCCTCTTCAGTGAGTTCGATGGAGTGCAACTGCTGCACCTGCCGCTGAAGCACAATCTCACCCTGATCATTCTACTGAGTCCCGAGTTGGTCGGAAAGAAACCCTACCAGATACCCAATCACTACGACCCCCTCGAACTTTTGAAAATGGGAACGATGAAGATCGTGAGGGTGCAGATACCCAAGATCGAGTTGGAATATCGCGCCGAACTTGTGCCCAGAGCCCTCGACGGAATGGGCATTCGACACGTGCATCGAAAAAATGCCGACTTCAGCAAACTGACGTCCAGCAAAATTAGGTTATCAAGCATGGTGCATGCAACGTCCATTCGCATCGATGAGTTCGGCATAAACGAGGAGCCTTTTGAAATCCGCAGCTGTAAGTCTACTCTGAGCTCTACATTTTTTTAGGGTTATACATATGCTTCTTTTGTTTTGTAGCTTCTTCTCCGGAGTCAGAGAATCAGATGTTCATTGCCAATCGACCATTCTTCTTCTCTATTGTTAACAACACGCAGGTCCTCTTCAGCGGGGAGTTCTTAGGTCCCTAGGACCTTAATAAAAAGTCACTGAAATTTGTAAAAATCTCTATAAATAAACAGACTTCCAAGTGCTGACAGCTTATTTAATACACAAATTAATTTACTTAAGAGAAACTGAAGCAAATTGAATTTCCTAGGCACCTAATAAGTCATAAAATACTAAGAGTCGTCAAGTCGAATTCAATAAACAAGAAACTTTTGTCTATTTGAGGAATTCTTATTTGCTAACTTTATTTGAATTTCATAAATTTCGTACTGCTTTAAGCCGCAAATCAAGGCATTTTGGCTAAGGACATTCTCCCAAGTGAAACATCATCGTCACTATGTTTAATTTGTGACTCTTTGCCTGATAGATCTTAATTTCCGGCTCCCACTGCGAAAACATCAGCCACAGCCTGTCTTTTGGGGTCCGAATGACCCACATTAGGAATGTGTAATTAAGAGCATCGCTGGCCGGCAAATTCCCCCGCCTCTTATGCTAATGACCAAAGTGAATTGTTGCTGCTGCTCCTGTTTTTGCTGTTGCTGCTGCCGTTTGTGAGAATTCCTGACAGCGATAAAAATGTTTCGCTTTGGCCGCCCCCGGCCCCGCCCCCTGATGGCATGTTTAGTCGGCGGCTTATGCGACGTATGCGTAATGTTAAAGCGCCGGCAGGGGGTGGGGGCAAAGGGGGACGGGGGCATTTGGCATGAATACATGTCCCAAAGTCAACGGGTCTCTCGTCTGCATGAATTGATTGACACGGGAAGCGGCATCGGGAACATCAGCGGCCACAGCGGCAACAAAATGCGACTGCCAAACAACTTTATTTGCGAGAAGTGGCATTCATGAAATATTCATGCAGGCAAAAACCCGGCTCTGATGCTGTCAGCCCGGAGCAGTTGCTGCCGTTCACAATAGCCAGAATATCCAGACTATCCAGAATATCCAGGCCCTGGAGCTGACGTCGAGGGGCTCCAGGATTTATTGGGCTGCCAGGCGAAGTGGATGAAAATTGAAGAGTGGAGTGCAGCCAGCAATTGTTGCAGTTCAACGAGAGCAATCGGAATTGAGGCTGGCAGAATAAATCAGAAATCCTTACAACAACATTCAACAGTTCTCAATATAAAGGCATCATATATTATAATAATTTAAATGGATTAAATCATAGGCTTCCTTTTGCATTGCACTAAATTTAAAAGTGAACTTTTAAGTTATAAATATCAATTTCATTTACTCGTACACCCTTATCAAAACAAATAATCTGTTCTTACACATTTTCCACTTTTTTTCCCGGTCTTTCTGACTTTTTCCCAGCTTCAAACCCAATTCAATCCCATCTGGCCTCTTCAGTGCACGACTTGCTTCTGGATTCGGACAAATCGTTTATTTGGTTAGCTTAAGATTGACCCACATTTGACACAGCTCAAGTTTCCCCTGCCACTCGAACACACGGCGCATACGTACTCCCATGTTTGTCCAAGTTGATAGTCCCAGCTACCAGATCTCGGCTCACAGCTCACCTCACGACCTTGTTGGTTAGCATTGGGGAAAAGCAGCAGCCAAAACCAGGGGAAAATCACACGCAGAGAAAAAAGATAACATTAACATGCTGATGTTATCTTTAAAAACAATATTACTTTGATAAAGTCAGGTTTTTTTCAGAATTTTTAATTCTATTCTAAGCATTGTTCTCTAACTATACAAATATACCTATTTCTGTATATTTATGATTAAAATGTAGAACCAAAAGTTTATTAATCTAAAGTGATGGTTATTAGGGAACAAACAAATATTGTTCAATAATCGTAATAAAATTGCCTTGCAACTGAAATATAATCAGAGCTAAAATCTTTTACTTTCTTCACAAGACTTTCTTTATAACTTTGAAGAAAAACCTATAAAACTATGTAAAAAATGTCTTCGACTTCCAGTCGCCTCAACTAACTATTTGTGGTTTATGGTTCTAGTTGTACAACTTCGATTGGGTTTTTCTGTGTGCAGAGGCAAACTTTTAAAGCGTCCAAGCCGATGGCATTGGGAAAACAGCATCGATGTCGCCCGGCACCACACAAACTATAAATTGGCTTAAGCCCCGACCAGCCAGTCGACCAGTTTGGAGTGTGTTCCCATTCTGGGCTGCCTCGAAAGTTGCCGGCTGGAGGAGTGGACTCCGTATCCAGGGGAAGGCGGAGGAGGTGGCTACAACGTTTGACACTTTTGAACTTTGATGTACGGCACTCAATCTCTGGCGTTTCGATGCTGGCTGAAAAGTTTCTTTGTGGATTGTCATGTCTTCCATTTGATTTGCAATGATTTTTGCTAATTTTCCATGGCATTCGCTTTGACAAGTTTTCAGCTTTTGGCTGGCCAAGATTCCCACGACATCTGCAGCTTGTCGGCATCATCATCGTCATCGGCATTGGAAAATTGTGCCCAATCCCCACGGCGAACCTGTTTGACTTTTTTTTGTGTCTGCATAGATTGCATTGGGGATCGCTTTTTAGAGTGCCAGGCCAAGCCCCATTATTATTATTGTGATTAGGATGAAATTAGTTTTTTGTCACGGCAACTTTATCGCTGCATCAGCTGCAGAAAGTGAAAACTTTAACGACCAGTGAAAATCGCTGGCATTACTTTGCACATTGGAGATTTCGGTGTGCGGAATCGGGGTTCTCTATAAAAATAAAAGAGGGAGAAATAAAAAGCGGTTCAATTTCCATCAATTTCGCTTCGATTAAAGCATTAATCAAAACTCCACTCGAACGGAAAGTCAGAACGAAAATTCGCATTCATCATCCTCATCATTAGGGGCACAAAGTTGACTTCACTCGGTATTCGTCCGCCAATTAAAAATTCATTCGCGGAATTTCCATTTTTATTCCCCTTCCTGCACCCACTAACCTCTTTCTGTTTGATATTCGTTTTAAATTAATATTAATTGCGATTCCGATTCCGTTTGCTTTGGCAGTCCATTGTGGTGGGCTTAACCCACGCTGCCATTTTGCTTTATCCTGCCAACAAAACTGGCATCGCAATGGCGCCAACCCGCACGTTAGGGTTAAGGACTTCATCAAGATGGAATCCACTGCTTTTCATTCAATTAGTTGCTGCAGAAACACTTCTTGTTTAAGCCTATGAAGCCACTGAAAGAAAATTATCTTTAAAAATTTTCGTAAAATGCCTCTTATAACTTTTGTTGCAGACATCCGATTTCAAAGTGGCATACTTCTAAATGATTGTGGTTTAATTCTTTAAAAATCTCTGTACTCATCTTGGTTTGCATTTTTGGGTCGATTTGTGGTCATTTTAATGATGTTACCCCTTTCCAAATTTTCGAAAAATGGTTTTGCTGAAAAATCACCTAAAACCTGCACTTCTAAGCCTATAACTTTTCTTACAGATATCCGATTTCAATGTGGCATGCCTCAAAATGATTGTGGTTTAATTCTCTAAAAATCTGCATTTTCAGTTTGTTTTGCATTTTGGGGTCGATTTTCCGTCATTTTAATGATGTTACCCCTTTCCAAATTTTCGGAAAATGGCTTTTCGGAAAAATGGCCTAAAACCTGCACTTCTACGCCCATAACTTTTCTTGCGGATATCCCATTTCAAAGTTGCATACCTCTAAATGATTGTGGTTTAATTATCTAAAACTTTGTATACTCAGCTTGGTTTGCAATTTTGGGGCGATTTTTAGACATTTTTACAGTGTTACCCCTTTCCAAATTTTCGGAAAATGGCTTTTCGGAAAAATGGCCTAAAACCTGCACTTCTACGCCCATAACTTTTCTTGCGGATATCCCATTTCAAAGTAGCATACCTCTAAATGATTGTGGTTTAATTCTCTAAAAAACTGTGTTTTCAGCTCGGTTTAAATTTTGAGGTCGATTTTTAGTAATTTGTCTCTGGAGAGGAGTTTTTCAAATCGTATGATTTAATATTTGTAGCCCATTGGCTCTAAAAGGCAAACTATGATTCCTATTTTTCTGAGTGTACACAATGCGGCTTGTGCTTTTGCTTGTGCTGTGTTGTTGTTTGAGGCCAACACTCTGAAGTATCCTGGAAACCAACAAGAACCTGCACAACAGGCTCAACCCCTCCGCTTTGAATAATAAAATTGAATTATTTGCTTAATAAAGCCTTCTGCAGAAAGTTGCTCTACATCTCTACGCAAACTGGAGCCAAATGAGACGAGATTCGCCCGATTTGCATTTCATCCCGCCTTCTCATTTGGCCAACACAATATCTCTGATTCATTGCTGTGCATATACGAAGCTATGAATGTGTATTTTGCTTAAGTCAGCAATTAGCATTTTGTTGCTATAAGGAAAAACTGGAGCAATTTGAATTTCCAAAGCGGCTGAATGCGTTCACTTAAGTTATCATAATTATACTACTTAAATGTAATAAATTTGGTGATTCATAAATAAATAAATAAGTTATTTGCGCCACCAATCAAATTGAGGATAACAACAAAATAAGTGCAAGCGCTAAGAATGAATGCTGGTAAATTTATGTACAAGTTTATACACATCATCAATTAGAAAGCAATTGTAACTTACCCTTAAGCATTATTTATTGGAATCATAAGCCATTAAATCCAATAATGACGGAAATGTCTGTGGGGTCTCAATAAAAGTTAGTTTTCGTATTTATTTATTAATCACACAGCTTGAGGCTATTCAGCACTCCCACTAATTTAGTATTTACATTCACTAATTAAAGCTCAAAGATATTTGTTTTTGTTTGTTTTGCGATTTGAGATGAGCATGGTGACCCTCATGTAACATTAACTTTTTACGTGACTCTCAGCATTTATTGCGTTTTTATCGAATATAAATTTTACCTTGTTCCTTTGCATAATTGCTTAAGTATACTTTTAAGCAAGAGAAATTCTTTTGTGGAATTAGCTTTTATTATTTGGACAGATTAAATTGTTTGCACCCACTCTAGTTTTCTAGATACGCAAGCATGTCCTTTAAGTGCGGATGCTCGAGAGCAGATAACAATAGAGGATCCACTTCCTTACTAATATCTACTGGTTCTTGTTTGGGACTAATCTCAGCCGAGCTTGGTTCCACAAGCACCTTCCTTACTTCCGGGTGCTCCAAAGCAGATAACAGTGCTGGCTCAACGACCTTGCTGGTATCCGCGGATTCTGGTTTAGGTTCATCCTCAGCCGAACTCTGATGCGAAGCACTCTCCGCCAATTCCGGGTGTGATTTTAAGGCAGTTTCGATGATAGGCACCGCATCGCTCCACCAATCCGTCACATAGTCCCCGGCGAAGTCCTGATTTTCGACGGATGCGGAATCTGCCTCAGCATTCTTGCAGCTGAAGACCCTCTTGCAGCCCCCGTTATTCCTGATGATCGATCCTGCCATGCATCCGCACCCGTCGAGGCACTGATGCACGCAACTCCCCATCTTCTCTGAGCAGCCCCTGCGGCAGTAGTCTTGGCAGTCGTAGAAGACGGGTCCTTCGCAGGTCCTGAAAGCGTGGTCGTGGTCCAAGCCATGGGTTTCCAGGAGGCTCTGCCAGAAGAGAGCAGCCACTAAAATGCCGAGCTTCATGCCAGCACTAACGTAGAAATCAAATGGAGTATCAGGGCTAGACTCTACCAAATCAGCAAATTGGATAATGCAGTGTGAGTGGAACTAACTGATTAGCAAGTGGTCTCATTTTTAACCATAACATGATCTTTTCGTCAAATCCAGTATAGCTACCTTATAGCTGGAACCCAAAAATTTTTTAGAAATTGTTCCTTATACTCACAAATCAGTGATTGTATATTTATTTGATACCACCGAGTAACTAGACAACATTTCGACAGTATTTCTTGTAGAATAATCTTCGAAATCATTACCAGGTGTAGTATAATTTGTAAAAGGTAGCTTATCTAGACATCAATTTGACAGAGTTCCCTAAGAACCATCTTCAGCTCAAGTCTTTGTGGGCACTTCAACTGTTTTGTACAGCTGCCTGCCAACTATACTTTCTAGGCACAGCATTCTCTCCTCCATAAATTGAGTTAACTGCTGGGTTCTGGGCAGGATTAAGACACTGTTCTGATAAAAGTAGTCTTCATAATCGTTTCCCATGGTTTTTGAGGCACTCCCGCTGGTTATACAGCAGCCTGCCCCCTTTAAAGTGGATAATCCTTAAAGGTCCCAATGCACTGCAGTGAATGAGACGCCGCCTGCATCTCCTTGTGACTTGGTCAGCTTCATCCTGCTTCATCCTGGCTTAATCCCTTGGCGGAGGTCCGCGTGGCCTCAGCACAGTCTCCAGGAGATTCGGACCCGGCTGATTCTTGGGTCTGGGCGTGGGTGTCAGGGAGCGGGTGTGCGGGGCCAGCTCCTCCTTCTTGTGGACAGCCGAGGTGGCGGCACGTCGCGCCCGAATCTTCTCCTCCATTTTGCTGGGCACCATGAAGCAGTTGGACTCCTTGTAGACGGGCTTGCGGCGATCGTTCCAGGGGAAGGTCCACTGGATGGGGGTGAAGTCGCGACGCCAGGGCTTCCTGGGCTTGAACCAGCAGTCGCAGGTCCAGTCCTCCTCGCCAGGAGCATCGTCATCGCTGAAGGTTGGGAATAGTTAATAGTTAATATTGATCAAATGATTATAAGGCGATTCAAAGTTGGACTTACCCCCGCACATAGACGCGGACGTAGTGCGAGTTCTTCCGGAACATTTGCAGGGCTTCGTTGAAGGTCATCTCCAGAGCCGGCACATCGTTGATCTGGGTGATCTCGTCGCCCACCCGCATCCCGCCCCGCTTGGCCAGCCCGGTGGGCGACACATTCAGGATGGTCAGCGGCTCGAACTGGTCACTGCCCCCAGACACCTCCATGCCCCACATCGCGTCGTAGAAGCTCATGATCCGGCGGTCCGTCTCCAGAGTGTACGTCATCTGCAGCTCGTACTCGACATTGTCGAACGCCTCCGAGTCGTACTTGGGCACCCTAATCTTTGAGTCGAACATTCTGGTGAACTCAACAGTAAGTGTGGCCCTTGGAAACTGGCTAGATGAAACTGAATCCCAAGCGGATGGGAGGTACTTTATCGTCTGGCGCTGGTCGAGCTGCCCGGTGGCTTTTATAGCCGATAATTTGGCAGATATGGCGGACGCGTACAGGGACAATGTCAAGGGGTTCGACTAATGGGTTTGCCAACTACAGTGGGAAGTATTTGTGAAATCATTAAAATGTAGGCAAACCCACAGGGAATTTCTTTTCATTTGATCACGAATGTTGGATTTTATCAAAACTCAAGTCTTCGAATGACATTATAAACCTTTAATAAATAAATTAAATAAATTGACATATTTGTCCAACTATTTACAAGGAAATTAATTGAATTGAAAATTATCTTATTTGACTACTAAAATTCTATGTTATTAATTCCTCCTGACTGTTTCACATTAATACTTCATTAAGATTAGCATCACAACGTTAGCCTGCTTTATTCTCTGTTTTCGACTTGAAATATTAATCTAAAATTTAATACAGACCTACCTTCAACCTCTTTTCTTTTTATTGAATTATTCATTTGCTCTGTCCCTTCAGAATATATGGTGCCTATAAGTGTTACCCACTGTGTATTGAGGGAAAATCAATGCAATTGATTTGCATTTAATTGTTGTCTATTTTTAGTGGCAGTGATTTTGGCTGACGGAAACAAAAGCTACCGCCCGACCACGAGGAAGATCCCATGGCCGCTTTTGGCCATTGAAAGTGGAGCCGCCGAGAGCCCAGGGAGCAGCCAACCAAGTCCGAGCTCCAAGTCCAGTTCCTCCACACACCGCTGGGCAAGTGCTAACCACTTGGCCCGGGCGATTTGATTTCACTGACCTCAATTACGGCTGCAATCGAGATGGTCCGAGGTTGCGAAGTCGGGAGACCCGCTGGACTATTGAATTATTCATTTTCAGCAAACAAAAAAGAGAGGAGAAGCGAAACCCGCCGCAAGAGCCCATAAAATGGTATTGTCGGGGGAACAGTGGCCAAATGGCAAATAGCAAATGCCAAACAGCAGCGACATCTTGCCTAATTACAGCGGATCTTCGGTGTGGGTATATGGGTGCTGCCTTCTGAAGTTTATTTGTCCAGTCCCAAATCCTCCTCTCCAGAAGCACTTAGCAGCTTGTCGGGGCTTATGCAATGGCATTCTGCCTGGGATTTGCATCACTGAGCGTGGCCAGCCTTTGTTGTCATGGCATTCCATTGCCACAATGGAAAGGATTTCGACCATGGAATTGAGGTAATTACTTAGCAGGTGCTGCTTGCAAGTGGGGGATTACCTGCTGGCGAAGCTTTTGTTTTTGCCAGTAACTCAAACTTAGTCACGTTTCCAGGTAAGATTTTGCCCATATAATTGCTTTCACGTTTCTTGGCTTTATCAAACACTAAACAGTCACGAGTAATGTAAAGTTTTTCTATATAAAGCGAAGAACATGTGTTGCGTTTCCAAAATAAATAAAAATGAATATTTTTTTACGTCTGCGTAAGTTTTTGAAATTCCTGAACATTTTTGTAAAATTTAAGCACAATTTTCTCTTAGTTGTCTTGACTGTGATACTGGTTGTGTCCCTGGATAAAAAAATAAATCGCATTTTGTACATAAAGAAGCGAGTTACAAGCTAATATGTGTTTTGTTAAATAAACAATTTATTTTAATTATTTTTATATTGTTTCGTGTGTACCATTTCTTTCTATGTAGGTTATCATTTCATTTTTTTTGTTATTTCTTAGGATGATCTTCATTTCTTTTGATTTATAACTAAAAAAAATGTGTCTTAAAGTGTATTTTTCTCCTCCTTTTATGATCAGCAGCATATTAGTTTTTCATTATGAAAATTAACTGGTATCGATACCAATAAAAAGAATTCAAGTGGGATTTTTCGTTTGCTGAGCCTGGCAAACTTTCGATAGGCTCTGAATTTTTATTGGTTTATCCTACTCATCAAAGCACATCAAGCTGTCAAACTTGGCTATAATCGGTCTGATCAGCGCGACTGTATTGGTGAACATCTGCACAAGGCATTCCGGTTTATCGTAAATCGCCTTCTTGGCGAACTGATGAGCCAGCCTAATAAACCTGACGATGCTGCCGTTGGGTTTTATTTTGGGTTGGAAGTCGACGCAGTCGGATAGAAGACGTATCGCGGTTATGGAGTTCTCGATTAGCAGGGCACCAGCATCTGTGACCACCTCCAGACACCGCAAATAGTGATTCAGCTCCGAACTTATTACGGCCTGAACCTGGCCCCATTGGCACGTCTAAACGGAGTTTTGGTTGAGAAATAATGCAGTTTCAGGTCACCATACTTACAGCCAAAAAGCTCAGAAAGAAAGCGGCCTTTATCAAATGCATTGGGGCTTCTTTTTGCGGCAAACTTTGTGGGCCATGGGAACATCTTGCCCTATATATAGGCCTCAGGATAATCGCTTTAGCTATGCCGTCCGGCGTCCCTGATTCCTAATGTCCCGGCTTAAAACTACCTTCTCGATAATTTACCTTTAATCCGTGTCTAAATACATCTGAGCTGGACCAATTAACTGACCTCGAACTCCAACTGCAAAGGGTTATCTAATTACTTCAGTTATAGAAATGTATTTGTTTTGTGAAACGTTGCTAAAATTATATTTTACTTTATTCACATTTAGATTAAGCTTTTATTTTGCTATTTACAAATACAAGTTTTTGCTGACATGAACGACCCTCGTATGCTCTTGATTTATTGAAGTAAAATGTAAATTCTTTGGTTTTTAAATGATAAAATCATCATCGTCCAAGCAGCCAAGTCCGCCGATTTGCTCTGCATATGGTTTGATTTCCTTGGCAATCTTGTTCAGCAGATCGTGCAGACATTTCGGTTCGTCAAAGACTATTCTCTTGAAGAATTCGTAGACGACTTTCAAGTACCAGGTAACTTTTCGACGTTTTCCGATTGGCGGATCCAAAGACACGAATCTCGAGCACTTCATTAGTTCGTAGACTGTCGGAACAACTTTGTTGGCCAGATTGGAAAACGTTTCGATGGCCACCTGAGTGCACTTGCTCAGCTTGCTCCACTCGTCTTTAATAGTTGCCTGGGCCTCAGTTTCCCGGGGGGTCAGAAAAACCTATTAAATAAAGCCGAAATGTATAATTTCTATATAGGAACTAAAGACAATGCCGAAGGTACTCACAGCAAAAAGGCTGAGCAGAAATATGGCCTTAGTTAAGCTCATTCTTTCGATTGCACCAGAAAGTGTGACCTGAAAGCACTTAAAATCGTTATGGGCGGGCTGTCCTATTTATAGGATTATTAACTAATTCCAATTTCATCCTCGCAAGCAGCGCTAAATATTTTGGTCACAGATTAAGTACGTAAGTTCAGAACAGAATCTATTTAAGACATGGTAGTTCCAACAAAACTATTTTTTTTATTAAATAATGAATTTTTAATTTTACGTTTAAGTTTTACTAATTTATTTTATACTTTTTTTTCATTTAATTTTCGTTTTAATAACTAGAGATAGAAGATCTGATCAATACCAAAATAACAGAACCATATAAATGAAAATTAAAATAACTCCCTCTGCAAGGATATAAAAATCCATTGACTATTGGCATCTTGAAAGAAAAGATTTTCTTTTGATTGCTTTGCTCTCTAAATGCTCAGTACTTTATTTAATTATGGGCAAAGCGGGGACTTAGTCTAGCAGGCATTTCTGAGTGCCTAGCGAGTTAACATAGGGTCTTAGGAGTTTGACGGTTCCCCTCAGTGGCGCCAAGAGGCAGAAGGCCTTCTCGTGCGAACTCCGTTTCAGAAACTCGTAGTATAACTTCAGTTTTCCGAGATAGCCACTGCCCACCAAGTTAGTTGGTGGACTGAAGTCGAGGCAGTTCAACAGAGTGCGAAGCTCTGGGATAATTTCTCTGACCAGACTGGCAACCGCTTTGGTGCCGATTCTGTTGCAGCCCAACCATTTCTCCCAGCTCAATTCTTGGGCCTTCGTCTGGGCCACACATACGATCTGTTTTGGGAATTTCAAATAATTGTCAACGTATGTATGATAGATTTTGAAGGACTCTACTTACAGCCAGCAGGCAGAGAACTAGTGTAACTTTAGTAAGTTTCATTGGAGCTTCTGTCTTCGTGCGTTTGGCTAAACGATTCCAGAACCAACTTTGGGACCCCTCGAGTACCATGCCCTATTTATAGGCCTCAGGATAATCGAATTCGCACGGCTTATCAGCAACTGGAAAAACTGAATTATCATTTTCAAGTGGGTGGGATTTTATGGATGATTGTTTCCTGATGGCGTTAATCAATTTGGTAACTTAACCAATAAAAGAGTCAAAGTAAGCAAGATTCTCCCCCATGAAAATCTGCAAATACCAAAATGGCCTAGGTTATATTAAATTTCCACGGTGGTCGCTTTTAGCTTATTTTATCATTTTAGCTGGCAGCAGAGTTCAACAATGATCTCCGCTAAGGTGTTAAAAAATAACTACATAAAAATGCTGTTACATCCACATATATTATAGATAAATGAATTATTTTTTTTATAAATTGATTCTGCACAGTTAAGATTAAAGCTTTTCATCAATCAAAATGGTAAACACTTCATTTGAACAATCCTTCTAAAATGTGGAGAAATAATGTCGTAGGCTTCCTTGAGGGCCTTTAACAGACATTTCTGGTTGTTGATGATCTTCAGCAGGTATTGATAGGCCAAAAGCGCCAGAGCAGTAATGTCCAGATTCTTGGTCTTCATTGGAACAAATTTGGCACAGGTTGCCAGGCTTTTGATACATGGAACCGCTCTTAAGGCCAAGGCGCTGGCAGCTTTGATTCCCACATCGGCACAATTCCCAAGCTTGTCCAGATCGATTTGGAATTGCGCTTTTAATGGCACAAGGGAGCCCAGCAGCTTTTAGAGTTCAAAGGTTATTAAAGAGCAAATTTCGTAGTGAACAACAATCTTACAAACAAGCTTAAGGTGATGAATTTGACTTGGCTGGACCTCATGGTCAAGTGACTTCGACTTCGGTAAATATTAAACAGATATCTTCAAACTAAACTCCATTTATATAGTTTCCCAATAAAGGGTAATAAATGGATTTACTACGCAAATTTGTAATATTTGTAATATAACTTAATTAGAATTTAAAAGCCCGAGTTTTTCAGAATCTTTGCTTATCCCTATGTCTTCTGCTTTTAATTTTTTAGCATACTCACCTACTTAAAATATTTAAGAGGTTTTCTTGTTTAAAAAAAAGATTATCCATTCAGAGAATAAAAGCCACTTGATAATTTACAGATTTTATTTAAAGCCGTTTTATTTTATATTTCTTTAATAGTGATACGCCCTGGCATATATCAAGTTGTTTTTGGATTATACATACACATAGCATAGGTTTTCATTTCATTTCCTTTAATTTGCTCCGCATTGGTTCTGCTCTTTAATCTGTAATTTGAAACGGTTGCCAGGCAATCATCTCGTACATACATTGATATATAGCCGATGTACATATTTAGATAGATTTTGAAATGTATTGTACCATATACGCATATATAAGTTGAGTTGGTTGCTCGTTAACTCGCTTAGCTAATTAATAGCTCTATATTTTTGGTGTGTGCAATTCTTTGTTGGTAAATTTAAACTGGGCCAAAATAGGTTATTACATAGGTATCATATAATATGCTCGTACAATGGTTATTGTAATTACAATTCTCTAATATGTTACAATTCGAAATTAATTCAATAGTTTAACAAATGTTTACATTTTGCTACAATAAACTCAAACCCAAAACGCCGACTCAGTTCCGAAACGATTCCCGAAAAGAATGCGAATTATCCGATCCAGCATCGATCGCTTAACGTTCGGTGTCCATTTCCGGACACCGACGAAAGCAATCCCCTCAACAACTTTGGGAGCTTCTGGGCTTGTGATCCGGGCACAAGTGAAGCTCCAATTGATCCATTAACCTGACCTAAGCTCGTGCGTCAACCGAAGGCAAAACGTAAGTTAAATTTTAAATTTGTTCGCAAGCAAAGCAAAATTTCGGTTTCGTTTCAAGTTTGGGAAATATACAGGTGGCCATTGCGTACTAATTTAAGACTCTTATCAAAACTACAATTGGTTGTTTCATAACTTGTTGCTTGAAGCTTTAGCAGGTGGTTCCGAGAGGGAGCGTTATAGAAGCGAAACTGTCAGTTTTTAGGGGGTGTCTGTGGGGGAAAGCCTTAAAAGCCGTCAACAGTTGACAATATGGGGCAGCTGTTTTGTGGCAGCGCCGAGTTCTGGTTCGTAACGCTGGTGTGTAAAATAGTTTCATTCGCATATATAGTTCTGGTTTCTTGTATATATATAGATCTAACAATAATCGTTACCTTTATAGAGATTTCGCAATTTTGCTGAGCTTATACCTCACGACTCCTATATCCTATATACTGTACGGTCTTTCTTTAACACACACATATTTTTCGTATCATAATTATCTCTGGCGGTTGCCTGCTCTTTTTAAGTTAAACAATACAAGATACAAGTACATGAAAATTTGTGTATAAACAGCAAATATATAGGGTTTTATACATTAATTTGTTATATATAGTTCCTCCTTTATATATATGTATGTCTGAATTTTGCTTTAGTTTGCTCCTTTAAAATGCATATACGTGTGTGTTTGTTGCATTATAAGCTTTACATAAGTGTCGCATACTTGAAAAAATAAAACATACTCTAACTGATCAACATAATATCACGTGGGAACTCAAACTAAACGATCCTTTAACTAATACCAAATATTTATACAATCGAATCAAACGAAAGCTATTTACAAAATTGTCCAAAAACTTAACCGAAACGGGTTCTAAAAAGTAGGCTATCGTATCTGATTGGAACTGCTAGTGCCTACTCTTTGGGCCGTGGCCAACTAATCACGAAATACATAATAATCCATAAACTGGTTGTTGAACTACTTAATAATTACGTACGCTTTGCAATTGGTTTCTCTCTTCTCATAATCTGTGATTTCCACGTTCGATTTCGATTTGCTTCCTCAGCTTTGCCCTAGCAACAATCCTCTATCTCCCACTCCCGATGGAATCCTCCAAGCTATTTCAATCAGTTGCCAGCTGCTGCTCCTGTCATTGGTTGTGATCTCCGCCTGACCAGACGTCGGGCGATATTCAGGCGCTGCAGCCAGCCATAGCCTGCGTCTCAGTAAACCAAAACGGACTCCATCGTGATCGTATCTCATTTGCTCGCACTGTTGGCATTCGCCGCACTGGTGGCCTGAATCTGGGAGGCCGTCTGGCTGGCCGGCTCCAAAGTTCGTCGCGCCAGGCGGGATCTGTCGGGGAAAATGTATTAATACGTATTCGAGGCGGTCACAGTGCCAACTTCACGGCCTTGACTTACTTGATCTGCCCAGCCAGCAATGGATTGATGGCATACAACCAGTCGTGCACTTCCTTGTCGCCAAGGGTCTGCAGCAGATAGCCACGATGCTTGGTGACCACACTGCAAAGAAATGTATGGTATAAATTAGTTTAATGTTCCCTTTAATAGGCAAAAATATAATTTTCTTCCCCCAAATCATATTACCCATTGCCTTTCACCAAAAGCAGAAGCAAACCCACCTGAATGTGTTGGGTATCTTGACCATAGCCGCCTGGTCCTCGCTGCACTCCACCTGGGCAGTGGCCAGATTGAGGACAGCCCGTTCAACGGGGTCTTTCTCCGATCGGTAGATAAACACATAAGGGCGACGTACGATCTGTTTAAAAAATATGTTAAATTAAAATCCGATAATAAGACACTGACATTTGGAAACTTACCACCCAGCGCTTCTTCCAGCCGGAACCGCCGTGCTCCAGGACGTTCAACTGACCCTTGCGGGCCACCACAGGACTCACGCGAATCTCCTCCAGCTCTGGCACATAAAGTCGGAGGGGAAGGGCCGGCTGAGTGGCCGGAGCAGGTGCCTCCCAGCCGTTGGGTGCATCAGCACGATCCGGCGAACATAACCTGATGCAAGAGAATAAAAGCAATTAGCCAAGGCCTCATTTCAGAGTTGGTTTAGTTTAGGTTCTCTGGGTAGAACAGAAAATTACCTGCGTCGATTTACAAATTTGTTGTTTCTAATTGTGTAAAAGAAAACCAAAAGGAAAACAAACAAATAAAACATTGGAAGTTTTGTTTTTGAGTATCTTGAGTTATTAGGAAAATGGGTAGTGGTGGTGAGGCGCTTTTTAGTCGTTGCACTGCGATGATCAAATGAAGGGCAATTACAGGAAAACAGCTGGCAGCAGTAGCTATAAAGGGCTGAAAACCAATGGAAATTATTTTAGATAGCCTCAGTTGCTTCAGGTTTTTAGGATGTTTTGGTTAACGTCGCTCTGTTTGCTGCTGCTGCCGGCGTTATTGTTGAAATCGGTGATGGCAACAGGCTTTGCAGAGGAACAAGTTCTCCACCATGAGGTGGACCCGGATCCGAGTCGCGTGAAGTACATTTGGAATCCGTTTCCGGGCTTCTGCGGCGAGAATGCCAGCATGATGAGGTGCGCTGGTGTCTGCCCCGAAACCTGCGCCTTTAAATCGCTCAAGTGCCCCAGCTTCTGCGGTGTGGACTGCATATGCAATCCGGGCTATGTCTTCAATGAAAGCCTGCAGCTCTGCATCTTGAAATCTGACTGTTCTCAAGTTATAAAACAGGAAGTTGTGGAAACTCACCGAGTGTTTCAGTAAAGGCAAACTTTCATTAATTTTTAACTTTGAAAAACTACTAATTATTGAATAAAACTTGAATCTCTAATAATGGTCTCTCCAGAAGAGTAAGAGCAACTAAAACCTGTTTAGAAATTAGTTGAATTAAAATTTCACAGAGCTCCCAAGTAGAACCATATTTAATTTAATGTGGAACCATTAAATCGCAGTTTCAAAAATACTGTCAATAATGGCATGTTATTGGTTTATTTTAACTTTACTCCCAATAGGATTAATCCTAGAATGGAACTCTGTAGGGGCAAAAGAAACCACCGAGGTAACCTGGCCCGAAGATATCACAGAAGCCACCTTAGAAACTGAGATGACTTGGCCCAACGAACTTCCAGAAATCGCAACGCAACCACCCGTTTTTCGGATCGCTCGTACCATGGATCACTTGGATGCGCTGCGAGATGAAGAGGAGTTCATGGAGAAACCAGATAAGAATCATATTAACGAGATCGATAGCCTAGAGGTGACACACCGAATCGTTTATTCGGCCGCCGAAATAAAAGCGCTCAAGCGGAAGCCGCTCCCCGAGGAGAAGCTGATCAGGCAGCCGTTCCACTTCGGCTGCTGTCACAACTCCACGTATGTGGAGTGTGCCGGAGTCTGTCCCGAGACCTGCGAGTACCGCTCCAAGTACTGCGTACCGCTCTGCGGACCGCCCTGTCGCTGCAAGACGGGTTATGTCTACAATATTCCCCGGAAGGCCTGCACCCTGCGCTCCGACTGTCCGAAAGGGATCGTGCAGAGCAAGAAGGGGGTCTACAGGGTGTTTTTGTGAGGTGGACAATGGAATGGCTGAGGGTGATTGGGGTTAGTGTTAGGAACTGATGTATGCCGTGTGCTGTGGTGTCGTGCCAATTTCGTTTGTTCTAATAAACCAAGAAGCCGGATGGATGCAAGCTAACTAGGATGGGTGGTGCTCATGTGGTGGAGATGCGAACGGCTAGGCGACTACTTACTCCATGGAATTGCTCGAGATGCAGCTGACGGTCATGTCGGCACATCCCTCATCGCTGGGCGAGACATCCGATTGGGTTTGTGTGTCGCTGGCCTCGCTCTTGGTGTAGCGCCCTAAAATTAATTCAGATATTAGCAACTGGAAGGCGTAGGACATGCACATCCCAACCCACCCTGCACTAGCTTCAAGCACTTGAGCATGAGGTCCTGCTCCCGCTGGTTGTACTCCCGTTCTGGAATGATCTGCTGCGGATCCTTGACCGGCGTCTGCGGCGACTGTGGAATGACCATGTGCACGGGTGAGGTGGCTGCCCGGGCGGCCAGGTTGCACACATCCTTCTCGGTTTTGGTGGTCGGATTGGGGTTGGTGTCCATGCCCAGGCGTTCGCGCAGCAGAAGAAGGTGCCGCATGCGACCGACCTCCTCCAGCCGGGTGAGTTTCTCCAGCTCCCACTGGTGGTCGAAGATCAGGGAGTCGCCCCTTGGCCGCCAGCCGTGCAGGTTCTCCTCACCGCGCACATAAGTGGAGCTGGTGTCCAACACTCGGCGCTGACGCCTCTGCACACCTGGAAAAGCACGAAGGCAAGTGGTTAGTGGGATCAGCTCCAGGTATTCGACAAGCGAGTGCAAGCGGACTGAGCACGAGTACAACTACAATGAGAATTGCTACCTGGACTACCTGCTTCGGATGCTCTGCGCAGTGCCAGCTCGTAAACTCCGGTGAGGCGGTTGGCCTCCGGATTGCGGTACTGTCCCGAGAACAGGTGCTTCAGGGAGCGCGGTCCGGTGCGAGCGTCACGTCCGTAGATGACCATGCTCAGATCCTTGGTGATGATGGCCGGACGAGCGCAGTTCTCCAGCTGAAGAGTCGAAAAACATGATGTACAGATCAAAAACTAATGTTTTTAGGTAATCCTACCTCCAAATAAGCGCTGAGGGTGATGTAGATGGTCTCACCGCCCTGCGAAACGCGATTGAGCAGGGCCGAGTTGTGCAAGCTCGAGTCCCAGGCGGCTTCAAAGCGGTAGAAAGATCGATCGTCTCCGGGCACCTCCAACACTTCGCCGGGGAACAGGCCCAGAGACAGCACGCAGGCGTCTTCGTCCTGCTCATCGGATGACTCCGGGGTATTGCGAATACGTCCCACTACCAGCTCGTTGATGTCCTTCCACTTCACCTCCGCTGTGGGCTCATGAACGATGGTGATGCGGATGCGCCGCTGGATGCCCTGATGCAAGAGGAACAGTCCGCGGCAGGGAAGATCATCGCTGTGCTCCACCACCTGTTGGGGCATTGGCTTTACTATCTGGGAAATTTGGAAGGCTTAATGCCTACACCTACCGATGGCACATATTCTCCGTTGGGAGCCAATTCACAGATCTCGAACCAAACCAGCACATCGTGCTTGGCCAAAACCGTGGACGTGGGCGCACAAGGTAGAGGTCCAAACTTGGGGCTGCGCACCGGCTGGCTGATGGGTATGCTCGGTGGCAACATGCGACGTGGTGGTGGCCGGGAAACAAACTCCTGCTTGGCATCCTTGTGCAATGGGTGCGTCTGATAGTGCCCGAAGATCTTGAACATTATGGGCTGCGTCTTTAAATACTCGATAAAGGATTTGGTCACGGGCACAGTAATCTGGGGAAAATATATTGATATATATATGCAGCATTTTTCATCTAAAGCTACACTTACGTTCTGCACATGGTAGAAGCCCAGAGGAGCGCCTGAAGCTGAGTTCTTAACCGGTTCGGTGGAGAAAGCCTCCTCATGTCGATGCAAGAAACTGTAAAGGTAATCTTTTATAAGACACATAAGTAAAGGGAAATTTTAAAAGATTACTTACTTGAACTGACAGAAGATATCAGCGTATTCAGCACCAATTCCAGTGGCCTGGAGTACGGTGACCCGGAAGGTGAACTCCTTGCCCACCTGCAGATGCTCGCCGGGCTCTTCGGCATTCTCATGGCACTCGGAAGCGGAGTTGGAGTCAATGCCACGTCCAGAATCGACATCCTCAAGTTCTGCTACGAAGGAAAGATAAGAATATTAAATAAGAGCTACTGAAACTGCAAAACCCCCTAAACTCACCCTCCAACTTGCTGTCCAGACCACCATTGTCAATATAGCGCTGCACATCATCCTTTTCGTTGAGAGCGCGATACTTGGGCTTAGCATCATCCTCATTGAATACCAAACGAGCCGACTGCTTGACGCCATTATTGAAGTCAATGGACTCCTCGTCTAGAACTGGTTGCACAGCAATTCTCAAGTAGCCACGCACATCTCCCCGCTCATTGACAATGGCCACTTTGTGTACCAAGGGCACTGGATAGAGCAGGTTGCTCAGGTAGATGAAGGAGCGACCCACCATGCGGAACCAGGGGAAGCGATCGTAGAAGGGATCCCCACCAGTGAGGCTCTCCACATTGTAGTCCGGCGAGGTGGGACTCATCTCGGCCTCGTTGTGGTACATCTCACGCATCAACTCCAAACGTTGCCTAAAAAACACATCCAAGCAATTAGAAACATAAAGTTGCGAATTTTTCAGTTGGATAAATAATAATATAAGTTTGCGAAGGTATAGAGGTGCAGGGACAGCGTCACATAAAGCTTAAACCCACCCCAGATTCAAAGCCAAATGTGGAAAGCCATGCAACTACAACTAAGGATAGTTTCTACACGTCTATATACAAATGAAACCTGCGGTCAAAGCAAACCTAGAAGGTATCAGATTGGCCAATGTGAGGCGGCCCCGTTCGCTTTCGACTGGTGGCTCCACTGGGAGCAGATGCTGGCCGGGATGTGGATCTTGGCTGGGTGGTGCGATCCATCCGCTTAGCGCCTCTATGCCGGACGTATCGAATAGCATGGACGATGGCGGGCTCTCGACATTGTATATCTGTCGCATCAGCTCGAGGCGATAGCTTGTTTGTGTACGAAAATGATTTGGGGTGGGAGTCGGGTTCAGGATTTGAGGTGTGGGTTTTGGGATACGTAGTAAAAGAACCGAAAAAGTACAAATCAACATTTGTTCCAAAAAACCTAACAAGCTGTCTGGGCTTTGGCGAATTATGGCGATGAGACTTGAGGCGTAAATGGTGGCGGCGTGATCTTCGCTTTGTTAACAGCCAAAGTTACAAAATGAACCAACAAATTCTAGAGCACTTGAATCATGAACTACAACCACCATGCACGTATTAATAATATAATAATCAACTCAAATCAAAAGCCAGCTTCAAATTTAAGAATTCAACCAAAGTGCAGAAAAGAATGAACGTGAGGGAGGAGCAGGAATTCGAGTGGATCATTGGATGTGGAAGAACTTACCGTAGCTTCTCCAGGGACCAGTGGTGAGTGGCTCCGTTCTTGGTATCGGTGACTTCGACGGCCACCAAAGTTTTTGAGACTGGTGGCGCCCCAAACTCGTCCTCCTGATGCAAAGGAGCCACACTGGAGGCCAACTCAGGTGGCAGAGGAGAGTACAAGGTGTCGGTCAGTAGAGTAAATTGAAATTGCACCTAGCACACAAGTTTAAAATAGTTAGATTTAAATTTAAATTCTAAAATTGAAAGTACATATTGACACATTATCTATTACGCCAACAGCTTTACCTTTTTCTTTAACTCAACGGAAATAGCATTCGCTTCCTTGAGGAATATGGCGTTCCCCCAGAGATCGTCTCGCAAGGAGGTGAATTGGTGGTAGCGCCACTTGCGGAAAGCCCAGGCAGCCAAGCCCGCCTCTCGAGCTGTCCAGCAGGACTCGTACATGGGATTGGCTAAGGAATGGCAAATAATTACAACTTTTTACTTCCGAATTGGTGGCCCTTCACTCACTGTAGACATCCTCCTCCTGGTGGAAGTCCTCCGGCGAGTAGCTGCTGTACATCGACATGGTCATCGATTGCTCCTCCACTTGCTTCTGCAAAGCATCGATCCGAGCCTCGTAGGTTTTGCGTTGCTCCTCGAACTGCTGATCGGCCTGGAGCTTCTCCCGCTTGTACTGTTCCTCCAGGTTATCCAGCCGCTTCTTCATCTCGGCTTTGAGATCGATGCCCTGTTTCTCGAGCAACTCGCATTGGGCAAAGTTCCAGTCCACCTGCTGGGTGTCCGTCTTCTCCACTTCGTTCTCCGCCTCGTTCTCGGTCTCGATCTTCTCACGCAGCTCGCGGGCCTGCTCCGGATTGGTAAAGCGGAATACGTGGTTCTTGCCCAGAATCACTCGGGACCCGGTTTTAAGGACCTCCGGTTCAACCAACTTGCGTCCATTCACATAGATTATGGCATCCTTGTGGGGCAGCAGAGTCACTGTACTGTTTCTATTCTCGAAGGTGCAATGCTCTTTCAGGATATGGGATCCGGAGAGCTGAATATCCTGGGGGACATTGGCTTCATGGGTTCCCAGCCGGGTTAGTCCCTCCTTGATGTAATACAGTAAGCATTCGGAGAGATTTGGATCCTCGTTTAAGTTGACCAGATGTGGAGTCTTCTTTGGCGAGAATACGCCCACCGTGATGCCATCTTCCTTGACGGCCACGCCCATCTCGGCAAAGACCGCCTCTCGCTGAACTCGAATCTCCTCAGTGCGCTTCAGTTTCTCCTCCCAAGTTTCGTTGAGTTCTATGCGGAATTAGAGGGATTGCAATCGCGATTATTTCATGTTTAGATTAGCACAAAGGGTTTTAAGGTTACACACTCACCTGCAATGAGTTTCTCGCTGGCCTGCAGCTGATCAACTGCCATCTCAGTGGTGGATCCATTGCGATTACGTGACTTGGAAGGCGACTTGATCACCGTGGACTTGGTGAGCTCATCCTCTGCAAATACGAAAGAGGGATTAGACGGAAGAACCGTAGGCATTTTGGGGTCACAAGCGCAGTGATAAGCGTGCTAAGGTTATAAAGGTATGAAATACATAAAGATATGTTGGATATAAATGTTCATTTTATTTTTTATACGGAACGAAGCAAATGCCAATGGTTTTTTTGGGATATTGCATAACTCTGGCATGTCCACTTTCTGGCATTGAAACAGCGCGGACTGCGAGGAGTTGGTGCCTGTCTTCCTTTTTGGACTGTGGCAACTCAAATAAATATTAAATACTTTTATTTAAGTCTCTTTGGCGTATTTTAAAGCAACATAAAGAGGACTCGTTCGTGATTATCGTATGGGATAAGTAAGGTTATATTCGTCCTGAAGCAATTTGTTTAGAAGCTTTGACGATACAGCACATTACAGACGCACACACAGAGAGATATGTAAGATTATTGGCAGTGGTTAAACTACAATATCAGTGCGTTTCAAAACTATATATAAAATGCAGAAAGATTCATTATATGTGCAACTCATTGATAAAGAGGGACTATTCCTATTGACCATAGAAATCAGAAGTCGTTATATTAATTATCCATAAAATAGTACAGTATTTATGAATACACTTGAGGTATTTCAAGTCGCCTTAAGCTCTGAAACGCACTGTCATTTTTTGCATATTTATAAATAACATTTGTTGCATGTGAAGCCTTTGGTTTTTGTTTTGCGCTGAATTGCTTTTGGCTTTACTTACTATTCGCATCGCGCTTCTCACACACCACTTTGCCATCGGGTCCTAAACGAAATAGGTTTGGGTTTGGTTTTGTTCTTTTTTCTAGCATAACTAGACTAGGACTAGAACTAACTTAGGCAGGGTTTCGTGTTTTGTTTTTCAAGTGTAGCGAGTAATTTTTAGATGTGTGGCTGGGTTTAATGTACTCTAGCTTAGTTGAAGGTATTTTAACCGAATCTAGAAGCTTTAAACTATTCCAAGACTTACCTTCCTGCACCTCAATGCCTTCGGCTTTAAGTAGATCCCGCAACTTCTGGATCTCTTCCTTGAGTTCGCGAATAAGCTTGGCATTGGCATCTTCATTAACCACAGCCTTGCACACAATCTGCTTGGCACGGTCCGCATAGCTGTTAAATGTTATTAATATTTAATACTATGATATTTTCAGCTAATAAAATATGTCTTACCGCAAAGTGCTGAGGGTTTCATCGTAGTTAATATCTGCTGGTGAGATAGCTGCAATCATAGCTGTCTTGGAGTTACCTCCCAAGTTTTCACGGAGCAACCAAGTCAAGGCCGAATCGCGATAGGGAATAAAGTCAGCCTTCTTGGTGTTCTTTTTCTTGGAAGCCTTCATAAATAAAAACCATGTTAGTAACAGTAAAATGCACTATAAATAAGGGTTGACTTACAGACTGTAGAGTAAGAAGGCAGCAGAAAGAGAGAATTATTGTCAGCAGTGAAATTTCTAATTCAAAAGTTGAAAACTTACCACCTCCGCTAGAGCTGAGATAACTTTGCCCAAAGTGGTCAGGGACTTGTTAATGTTGGCTCCCTCCTTCAAGCGGGTTCCCTTAGCACCAGTGGAATCCGCTCGTTCCGAGCCAGCCAAATCCACCAAGCTAATCTTGGAGACCTTCTCTGTGGTCAAATCGGTCATGGTGTCATAGCGACGTTGGGTAAAGAAGATTGTGAATACCGCATGCGAACGGGAGCTCGTTTCGTTCATGTTGGTGGCTGCCACAGTTCTGAAATCGTTAACATTTGGTTATAAATAGAAATAACAGCAACCTGTGGTAATAATATAACCCACCGAGCCTTGTTGCCTTCATCAATGAGATCGTGAATGTCCTGGTAATCGGTAACGGCCAATTTAGACAGATCCTCGACATAGGGACCCAACAAAGGATGTTCCCTCACACGAAGATTGCCCTTGTTCTTGGGATTCAGGAGATCCCTGACCCGCTCGCAATAGATTTCCATATAGGAAACCTCAACCTGTAAGAATTATTGTAAATTAGAATCCAAAGAGGTTTCACAATGCTGTGCTAACTCACTGAATACTTGAGATCATCGGTCTCTGTGTCCTGGATGCGAGTGAAGAGATCCTTGCATATCATGGGAATTATGCCCTCCTGCTGCTCCTCCTGCCTGCCCATCATGGTATAAGATTTGCCAGCTCCAGTCTGGCCATAGGCAAAGATGCAGACATTGTAGCCATCGAAGGAGTGCTGCAGCATCTCTTCGCCAATGTCCTTGTAGACCATCGATTGTGTGGAGAAATCGGCATCGTGGTGCTTTAAAAATATCAAATATGTTACTTATCTCGTCTTTTGTACTTTGAGTTGAACCTACATCATGTGACCAGTAGGAGTAATCAAAGTTGAAACGCTTTACTGAGTCGCTTGTGTTGGGCGGCACCTTTGGATTGGTGATGGCTGCCAAAAGATTTTGCATAAGTGTTTCGTTTAAATAAATTTCGAGTGGTTAAAGAATCTTACCCGTTGTGGCGCCTGCCATCTCGATGATGCATTTCGACTCCCTGCCTATTTCGCGCGAGTTGAAGGGGCGCACTCGCACCGCCACCTTAACCGACGACATCTTGGCCTGCCTCTCAGTGGGTGTCCTGGTTTCCGGTTAACTGGAGTGGAAGCAGAGGAAAGGGAATACGGAATATAGAATACTTTATAGACATTCGAGTCATTCGAGTGGGCTGCGAATTGGCTCGGGACTCCCACTGGCAGCACTGACATTTTATAATTGCCCCAACTTTATGGTTATGTACTCGTCCACGATTTGTTCTTGTGGTAGTTCGAAACTATGAGTCATGCCCCGGAAAGTCGCCAGGGAAATTTGAATTGAAGCCAGTGAGGGGTACTGAGAGTTGTTTTTTTTTTCATACGGGTTCAGTCTTTGAGTTATACGACTATAGTGGATAATATACTAATGGAAATGGTATTTACATGTTGTATTGTCAGAACATATTTTTAATTTTTGATGGAAGAATTACTTAGTAATTTAAAATTTTAAACAGAAGAATTTTTGTTACGATTTTATTATATTTCAAATTTAAATCCTTAAATTCTTAAATGTAAGTAAATTTACACAGATTTTTATTAGTTCTCTGCCTTTTACAAACTTTGATTTTATGCAAATAGTTTTGTGTAACCCGCCACCCCCTTGACTTTCACACACGCACATCCACTCACACACTCGAAGCCAAGAGAAAAAATTCCACAATCCACAATGCTTCCAATAAAAACGCAGACGAGTGTCGGCCAATACTCGAATGAGTCATCAAGCAAATACAAAAGGCAGGATAAGGAAAAACACTCACACCCCAGAAAGGAAATGGTATGACTTTAAAAAGGATTTATTTAAACAAAATTATATAAAGTAATACCAGATTTAGTGAGATTAAATTACCTCTAAATAAGGGCCAAACAATTGTTGGCTTATAGGGTAACTGTATCCTTTAAGTTCATTATAGCACAAATTTTAGGTTGTCTTTGTTACACTTTTTGAACGCACTTTATTGTTAGATTTCACGAATTTTACTTTGATTAAGTTGTATTGTTTTTTTAGATCTCACTTTATATTTAGTCAAATTATTTTCCTGTAATTTTTTCACTTGAGCACGAGTGAAATTCTTTTACTCGCGTACACTAAAGGCCTGAAATATGGTGACACCAAGCTTAGAAGCTATTCCAATGATTTTGGAACCAATGCGCAGCTGTAAGAACTTCTCTCTCTCTCTCTCATCCTTTCTCTCTCTTTGTTTACCTGACAAAAGTACTTTTGTTTATGTTTTTTTTTGTTCCTTCAATTTCTTTTTGACGAGGCTGTCAAAGCAAATGTGCAACAGCCTGCAGTAAAAAGTCTACACAGGGAAATTTGCGCAGAAGCGCGAGACAGGAGAAATGTGGAGAGAGAAATAGAGAGAGTGGGGGCGAAAGTGAGATAGAATATGCAAAATATTTGTGTAATGTATTTATTTTATTTTTTATGATATGCAGACTGACGCAAGTTGAAGGCGGACCAAACGATAAGGGGAAAAATAAAAGAAAATAATTCGGTATATATCCTTTTCCTGGAGATGTTGATTTCGATATTCTCCACCCAGGTTACATGGCTTGAAAATTTATTCGTCACACTATCAACCCTCATTTGCGCTTTAGAATCCAACCAAACACTCGAGGTCCTTCGCTTTACATCGCTTTTATTGCCCTCTGCGTCATATTGAGGTATTTTTTTATGGCTTCCTGAGGGGCAACACGGCGGGCACTTAATGCCATATGCAGGACCTCTAACCACACTCAAACGCGCACACACACATCCGTGGGCATATCCTTCGCTGGGTTCTTCTTGACCTTTATTAATAAATTTTCAAGTTGCCTTTGCCATGGACACCGAGCCAGGAAATCTCTACACTCTACACACTATGCACAATTTTCTGGAGGCCACTGTATACTAGATGATGGAAAAAAAAGTCGAATCGAAATTATGTAAAACGAAATTATGGGCTATGTTTTTCGAGAATTTTGAAATGTTTGGTCGAGCGAATTGATGAAATTTTGCAAATATATTTTGAAGCATTTACCAATTGATTTTCAGTTTCGTTTTATTTTTCGGGCTTTTACAGGACCTATAGAACTCAAAATATTTTCTGTTTCAAGAACATTTGTGGTTGTTGCTGATAGTCCGTTTGCTGTTGCTGCTGCATTTCTTGGTCTTGCTGCTGTTCTTGTGTGTAATTGAATACTAGGACAAGACTATCCAACATGGATCGCTTGGAGGTGGTGGCGAAAATGATGGACAGCACCAGAATTGTGGTTAACAATAGGGCGAAGAACAAAAGGTAACCAAATGCGCACATTCGCGTAGCTTCCTTCTGGACTTAGTTATAGGATTCTTGATTATATATATAGGCTTCCATATATGTGTATATGTAGGGGTCTGGCTTTCTGTATAACAGCGAAAATTTTTGCACTTGTTTTTGGGGGAAAGTTTTTGGTTAGTTTTCAGTTTGCTGAAACACTGAAACAAATCGTCGATCTGGGACTTATTAGTTGATTTACTTGGCTGTGCTCTGTGTAATTTATTGGGCAACTTTTCGTTGGGGGAAAACTCTGAGCTTTTCTGCACAAAATCGATGGCCTGCCAGCGGAGGGCCTCAGAAAACCAATTCGCGCACGACTCAAGACCAGAACGAACTGCACCCGTTAAGGGTAGACGACACAGTGAGCTCTGGGAAAGTTCAGAGGATACGGCCAGCCCTCCACGAAAACGCATGCGCCGAAGTCCGGGGGAGAAACTGGAAGGGCAGGGGTGGGGTGTGGGGTGTGGGTTGCGGGGTGTATTGTGTGGGCTGCGAGGTGTATATGGGTATGCGAAAAATTTCATAAATTTCATCTAGAGCTTAAGGGGTCGGCGATAACAAAACGGCCGCCTGTCATCCGTTGGCACAAAGAATTTCATTAATACATTGGCGCAAGGTGGCCACTTTCGCAGACAGCCACTGTGGCAGCCCCCATCCCTAATGTTTGATCTTATTATCGCCGCCGGCACAGTGGCTATAGCTACGGCTTTATCCACCAGCTGATGACGTAAAGTGGATTCTTTCTATTGATTTCCCCTCGCCATGCGTCGCACGACAAGCTTTGGCTTTTTATGTTACTCGGTAGTTTCATTTGTATACTTCTCCGGCGTAATTACATTGACATTGAAATCTGACGCCGACGCTGCCAGGAAAATGAAAAGTCGGAGGGACCTTGGGCGGGGCGGGGGATGAGGATGATGGCTGATGGCTGAGACATGTTGCAGGAACAAAGGGGTTGGGGGATGTCTTCATTTACTATACATTTCATACATTTTTTCAGCCCCGTTCCCGCTTTAAAGAATATGCTAGCAATAAATCATAATCACAATCCCAAAATGTGTTTGAAAAGCTCTATAAGATGGAGAAACATCGCTGGCGATTAGATCGTGCAACCCCTTGGAAAACAAAGTAAACCTAGTAACAATGTCACTCTTCTTTAAGATTTCGGCTAGCCAACAACTTACTCTACAATGACGAACACCGCCACACTCCCCACCAAATCCGAATTTGAGCACAATGAATTGGACAGTGAGTTCGACAACTTTTGGCGAAAGGTTAGCTGCTATGCGGCCAACCACTTTCCCTTCGAGGAGCGTTGCGATTTCGTTCGCAAGTCCGTGGACTGCAACTTGACCACAAATGTGCTGCCCTACATGAGACTCCTGGCATGCGAGCTAAAGTGTGTCAATCAGTTCCAGCAAACGGTGTTCATCACCATGTTCGTGGCGCTTTGTTTCCAGACACTGGTTTTACTGATCTACACGATCAATGTATAGTAAGTTGCATATGTGTTCTTTCAAGTGATATTATGTTGATATGTTGAGTATCAAAAATTCCTTTAGGCATATGCGTTTTTAAATAACCCATCTCCCGTCTCAAAGTAGCTGTTAGATTCGAACCCCAGATTTACCATAGATTTCAGAATCCTTTCTATCCTAGATTAGTTTGATTTGATTTGTCAATAATATCCACTTTGCCTTATTTACTTATATTGAATGACCTTGAATGACAGCTATAGTCCTGCACTGAAGGCCGTGTCGCGGTTCCTGCATATGAACGAGCACTTGGCGGGAGTCACCCTACTGGCATTCGGAAACAGTTCCGCCGACTTGTTCTCCAATTTGGCCAGCGTTCAGGAAAATGTGCCTGTGTTCGCCAACAGCTTGTCATCGGCCCTGTTTGTGAGCATGGTTTGCGGGGGCTTGATATGCTACATTTCTCCCTTCAAGATGAATTCCTACGAGACACTTCGGGACATCCTATTCCTTATTTTGGGCATTTTCTTGATGGATTACTTCGTACACATGAAGACCCTCAAGAGCGAAGTTAAATTTTTTAGTAAGCATTTATATCTAATACAGACTGTTCTGGATTTTGCTCAAAAGAACACAACATCCACATTCATTTAAAAAATGAGCCATAGAAAAAGCAAAAGCATTTCCATGACATTGTGTTACAACATTGAACTTTATTTTTTACAACAATGAAAGTAATAGATTTTATTTTTTCCATCAAATGTAGTTGTGTTTATGGTCTATGTCATCTACATATTAGTGAACGTGGCAGATCTTTATTTATTGCGCAGGACTTTAGACTGTAAGTATTCTTCCATGAGGCTTTATTTATTACATTTTTATTATGTCTAGCAATGGCTAAACAAATCGATGACCTCCTGAATCAAGAACAAACTCCAGAAAACCTAATGAAGCTTCGGCACCTCGAGAAGAAGCACGAGTATTATTCGCAAGACAGGAAAGTAGAGATTTATGAGAAGGGCAGTAGGGTGTCGATCACCAGAATCCGGTACACCACGAAGCGAATGGTGCGAGCCATTCCTGTGAGCGTCAACCGAAGCCTAACCAGATCCTTAAGGCACGACGTGACTCAGCCAAGGAACAGGGGATTGTTAAGGGACTTGCTCCTGGGAATAAGGCCCATCAGGTGCAACGATTGGCGGAAGGCCGACCTTCTTAATCGGGTCCTACTGTTGATCAGGGCTCCAGCTGTGCTCCTCTGCGCCCTCTACATTCCGTTGGTGGATTACGAAATGGAGAAACACGGCTGGAACAAGCTGCTGAACTGCATTAACGTAATGGTGAATCCTGCCTTGTCCATATCGTTTTTAATGGGTGAGTACGATGAGTATAGTAATGTATGAGTGCTGCGGCACGAAAACATTTGCTTCAGCCTTTATGTATAGCAAGGGAAACACTTTATGGTACGCTGTCATTAAAGACCAACTCATTTATGGGTCTTATTCTCTTGTGATCACCGTGCCGTTTGCCATATTCATCTTGATCCAATCTCGGACAGACTTGCCACCAGCTTATCACGGGGTGAGGCACTATCACTGCACAACCTCCATTTCAGGCTTATAAACACGTTTTCACTTACAGATTTTCACGGCAATGAATCTGACTGGCTCCATGTTCATAATCTTTATCTGCGCCACGGAAATCGATGAAATATTGGAAGTAATTGCCAATTTGATGGCCATAGATGACGACTTCATGGGAGCCACGGTGAAGGCTTTTACGGGGAACCTGGGAACGCTTTTCACCAACACCGCGGTAGCCGCGCACGGCTATCCAAGGATGGCATATGCATCCTCCATTGGCGGACCTCTGTTCAGTCAGTATTTCGTATTTGTTTGGATGTACTATTATAATAGCCCATCCGATCCCTCAGCTATCGTTGTAACTGCGAACACTGTGATCTACGTCAAAAACCTCGTAGGCCCCGAAACCACCGATCGAGACCATATGCAGGAATATGGTCATTTCGCTTTGGTTTTTCTCAGCATTGGTCTTTTTAGCATTTTGCTCTGGTCCACAACATTGGGATTTTTTGCCCGTCGCTCCGTGGGTATATATTCGATGGTTATTTACATCATCTATTTGATATTCGCAACGTTAGTGCAAAGAAAAGTCATACATTCGTTTACTCCCGACAAACAAGTTTCAGCTGCATTTGGCGATGTTTAAGTGCATAGGTGGAAATACAGACCGAGCGTATATAATTTTAATTTTGCGATCTTTTGATACTTCATTGAAATCTTAAGTTTAGCACGCAATATCGTAAAATAAAATGAAGATAATGAAAAGTAGAAGCGAACCTTGCAGGGAATTACTGCACATATTGTCATTACTGCGCAGAATTTTGTTGCGAATTGAAATCGGGGGAAAGAAAAGCACACACAGACTAAAACAAAACCAAATAATATCGAGCGTGTGGGCTGAATGAAAATGGGAATGAGTGGGAACTGCGGTCGTTGACGTTCATTGTTGGCTGCGCAATTCCTTTTTTCACTGGCAGCTTTAAGGATTTTCCACCAGCGAATGTCAATGACAGTTCACGAGCCAAAGCATTTCAATTTTCCGCTGCTTCATGCCCAAAAGCGAGTTCGCCAACTCTTTTGGCCAGACTCAAGCAATTAAAATGTAACACTCCAGCAGACAACACTGCGTATGAGTCATCTTAAAAGTACTTTTTTTGCATGGCTGCAGGCTGGTTTTGAAATTAAATTTCAATTGAATTTTCATCTTAAGTGTTATTTATAGCTGAGGGGACGAAATAAGAGATCCTAGAACGTCAGACACGTGTATATAAAACCCCTCGTAATTCCACCGTTTTTTTTTTAAAGCCCCCAGGACACTTTGAGCGGAAAATGTATAAGTGTTTGTTCCCTCCATTAAGTCCCGAACATAAACGAAAAATGCGATTTGGTTATTTAAGTCGTTGCAACGGATGCGAGGGGAAACACTAAGAAAATATAGTGGGAAGCACAAGAGAAAGGGGTGGAGAAAGCCTGCCCCACGCAAAAAGCACAAACACAGTATAACCACACCAACACACCCGCAAAGAGAAATGGCGGATGACTCATCCAAGGAAAATGTTCGTGCCATGCGAGTATGTGTGCGAGTGTGAGTGTGGAACCTGGCCACAGTCGCGTCCCAGCGAAGTGGGACTGCCTGAGAGCAGAGGGTAAGGAACAGGACACAAGGGGGGAGGGTAGGAAGAGCGGGCCAAATGGTGAATCATCTTTCAAGAGGCAAACATCCCTGACTTCCACGGCTGGCCCTGCTTTTCCTCCCACTTCCCAATTGGTTTCTTTTTCAGTTCTCATAATTTCAAGGTTTGTTTACTCAGTGTTTCTGCTGCAGAGAGGAAAAATACAAAACACACGGGAATTTTCGCGTGGCCTTCTATTATTTTATATAAAATAAGTTAGTGGATTTTTTGTTACAATAATAATAAACTATTTATATGATAATTAAAAAATTTGTTCTTATTTAATCTTGCAGCGCAAGGAATAAAATACAGTTCAAACTATATTAATTGTCAATAAATTTAAAGTATTGCAAGTTTCTTTACGTTTTATCTAAAAATATAAAAAAAAATGTTAAAACAAAAATTTGTAAACAACTTTTAAGGCACAGTGTATTTTTTATTTTGACACGCAAAACAGCCCTAACGTTGGTGTGGAATGGTGCAACTCCATATATCTAGGATATAATTTGTACACACGCGGCTGCCAGGACATGTTGATTAGCAAGTGATTTCCATTTCGAGCAGTTTTTGTTGCCTACTTTTCTGGGGAGCTGACCACACATGATGAAGTAGACCGCAATGGGCGGCGACCACGCCCCAACTGCAATGGGGAACACTTAAAAGTGCAGCCCACAGGTAACATAAATCATTTCGGACGACCACAAGCTTTTGGTCCTTTCCTTGGCTAACATAATTAATAATAAACAAGGGAAAATTGTCAGGAAGCCGTTTCGCGACCAGGTGAGTTTTCCCCCACTCTTAACATTTTCCTTTTTAATGTTACTCAGCGGAAATTTATGTTTATTGTACCACACCCCCACAGAGCACTCTTTTTCTACGGTTCCTGCTTTCTTGTTGCTTCTCTTATTTATTCATGACACTTTTAGACCCACTTATTACGCTGCGGTTTTAAAAAAACGTTGGATTGTTGGACTTAAAGCTGGTGTAAAAATATTTCCCTTGGCACAGACTGTGAGCCCTGCCTGATCTGAATTATATTATGGGAACAACAAAAGACAATCACTGGCAAACAATCTGTCCAATCCCTCTTCAATCCACTGCTCGTTTAATCTCTCAACCAAGCTGGTCACTGTAATCACACCACAGTGGGCATGACGCACACTTCTACACAGAAAAAAACATTTCACACCCAAGAATACGATGTCAAAGTCGAGTACTTTTTGGAATTCACTTTTTTAAATTAGAGGACTATAAAAGTATATGGCTGACAGTAGTTTGTTACTGAATTTAATAAGCAAACTTTAAATTGTTTGCCAATATTTTCCAGCATAAAGTTTTGAATATATAGATCTAATTTTATCAGGTATTAAGTGTTTTATTTAAAAATGAAAAATAATTTATTTTTAAAATTTAAATTTTAATAACACAATTATATACGATTCTCATTCATCATCTTAATCTTAACTAACTCATTTAACTATATTTATATATCAACATATCGCCCAAATATGAAACTTTTGATGGCAGCTAGCGGTTTGAGTTGAGGAAGTCGAACTGTCATACTTAAATTTACACAAGATTTAGTCATCTAGGAATTTTTGACATGATTTATTGGGTTAAGACTTAGATCAAGACAGAATATTATTCATAGAATAAAACTATAACCACTAACACTGATTACTAAATCTTTTTTTTAAGTACGACGGAAAATCCGTCGTTCACGCAGACGGACAGATCAAATTCTACATGGGACGGACTTCATATTCCGCCGAATCTTTGCCCCTTGAATGGCGATGCATCAAAGTGGGGGCAGCTCCCCTCCCAAAAGTCAGAGGTTGTCCATCGGTAAACATTTGACTCGAATGGAAATATGGCCAGAGTTCAACCCCTGGTAACTCGATTTCCACTCCTGACGTCAATTGGCGAGGCGATAAGGCCGAGAGTGCCTTAGTGCGTGGGTGCATCGCGTAAGTGGGTCTGTTCTGGATGTTCGGGAACCTCCGGATGACAGGTTGCACCATATGCTCGGGGAAATTGGCAAACAACAGTCAAGAGGTTTTATTTATAGCCTGACAAAGGGGCGGACAGCTGCTGAAGGACCTTAAGGATCCGCAACAGGACGAAAGTCGGAAAAGTTCCCAAGGGAGATGCGTGCGCAGTTCGGGGTCAACTGGCTGTGGAATATTGATTTTTCACATTATTGCCGAATACAGTCAAGAGGAGTTTTTCATTCGGAATCCAGATCATTCTTCTTAGACATATATTTATGGGAGATGTATGATCAATCAACCGATTAATAGTGCTAACTAACTACTCACTTTGAAAAACAACTCCCTCGTAGCTTTGCCAAAGTGTTCCACACTCCAACACAATCACAGTTATTTGTCAAATTTATATTGCACTTAATGGTTTATTTTATGGTTTTATTTCGTCACCAAACAGGAAATCGAATTACTTTCCTTTGTCCCGTTTTTTTGTATTCAAAACTTCGGCTGTTTTTCGAGAATGGCCATCACGCGAACAGGCAACAAACGACTCTGCCAGCGGCTGGCCGTTTGTCCCACCATTCGGATACGCGTGCTGGAAAATTGTTTGCAGCTGCGCGCACACAAACTCTGGAAAACTCGGGGGAAATGTGAATTTCCTTTCCGCCCCCAATTCCGCGGCAGGCTGGCTTTTGTTTTTGTTTGCGCTCAGCTGACTCGCTAGAGATGGCACGGATGTCGTCCAAGCGGCAGTGTTGGAAAGCGGCCTCCACACGTGCTTGCGGGTATCGGCACTCACGATTATGTTGAACAAGAAAGGAAAGCTAGCTTCGGGCGGAGCCGAAGTTGATATACCCTTGCAGAATATTCTGTATATTATATTCTCCAGAAATTTTCATATGATGCACTCTGAATACGCAAAATCCCAACTTTCTAACTTTAAAAACATAAAAGTTATGGCATTTCCAATCGTTGAGTTATTTGGCAGCTATAGGATATAGTCGGCCGATCCTTATGAAATTTGGTAGGTCGGATTGATTGTCCAAAAATAAAACCATAGAAAATCCCAGGTTCCTAACTTTACAAACACCAAAGTTATGGCATTTCCGATCAATCAGTTATATGGCAGTTATAGGATATAGTCGGCCGATCCTTATGAAATTTGGTAGGTCGGATTGATTGGCCAAATATAAAACCATAGAAAATCACAGGTTCCTAATTTTACAAACACCAAAGTTATGGCATTTCCGATCAATCAGTTATATGGCAGTTATAGGATATAGTCGGCCGATCCTTATGAAATTTGGTAGGTCGGATTGATTGGCCAAATATAAAACCATAGAAAATCACAGGTTCCTAATTTTACAAACACCAAAGTTATGGCATTTCCGATCAATCAGTTATATGGTAGTTATAGGATATAGTCGGCCGATCCTTATGAAATTTGGTAGGTCGGATTGATTGGCCAAATATAAAACCATAGAAAATCACAGGTTCCTAACTTTACAAACAACAAAGTTATGGCATTTCCGATCAATCAGTTATATGACAGTTATAGGATATAGTCGGCCGATCCCGTTTCGACTTATGTATATACTGCGTGAAAAGGAAAGAAAGGTGTGTGCGAAGTTTCAATTCGATATATTTAAAACTGAGAGACTAGTTCGCGTAGAAACAGACAGGTGGACAGACGGACATGCTTATATCAATGCTTATATCCGGCTCGTTGCAAACTTTTGACTGAAATTATAATATCCTCTGCAAGGGTATAAAAATGCTTGCTGTTCTAAAAAAAAGTGGGTTAATCGATAAAGTAAACAAGTAAAAAAATATTCAGAGAAATTTGGTCCACTTTTTGTTTTATATTATTTTATTAAATTATTTATAAAAGAAAAATAAATAAACTCAATTGTATTTAACAATAAAAATATTTTGTTTATTCATATTTATTTATATATTTTAGAAAGGAACTTTATAATTCAAACGATGGATGTTGATATCACATCTCGGGTAAATCGCAACATTTTTCTAAAAAATTCTTCGTCATACCCCAAGTCAGTAAGTACTTGTAAGTCGATAGACTTTGGGGGGGCGGTTTGCGTTTCCGCGTCTTTAGTATGTGGGGTGGGTGGATCCCCGGTCACCACTGCTGCCACAGCTCCTTCCCCGTCCTCCTCTTGTGCTTCTGAATAATAAATATACATTAATTAGCTTTAAAAAATGGGATCAAAAAAAGTAATTTTCTTACCTTCCTATGGAGCATCGAGATGGACATGGCTGCTTGGATCTGTCCCAGGCGGAGGCATTTCAGTCCTAGAATTAATGAACGAATAAATAAACAGTGAATAACTTAATTGTTGGCACAGTATGACTTTTTAACTTTAAGACTATTTTTCTTTAAATAATATGCTAAAACTTAAATAAAATTTTTTTTTTTTTTTTTTTTTTTTTTTTTATAAAATTTTTTTTAAAAAAATTTTAATTTTTTTTTTTTTTAAATTTTTTTTTTTTTTTTTTTTTATTTTTTTTAAAAAAAAATTAAAAAAAGGGAAAAAGGGAAAGAGGGAAGGAGGGGGGGTTTTTTTTATATGGGGTTTTTTTTAAAAAATTTTTTTTTTTTTTACTCCTTCTTAAATTTTAAATTATAATACCCTCTGCAAGGGTATAATAACAACATTTTATATATAATCATTAATTTCCAGTTAAATACAAGTGACTTCATTGATTAATCTTTTATAAATAATTTAATACAAATAAAGAACCAAAAAATTGACCAGAACAAAATTATTGGCACAATTGGGTTTTAATTAACTATTTTTATTTTTATTATTGAACACTTTTTCTTTTTTTATTAAATTATTCAAAAAAGATAAATTAAAGATTAAATATAAAAATATTTTGTTTGTTTTTAAAATATAACAATATAATTTACTCACCTTTCGTCTTGACCCTCCTCCACAATCTGGCAAGAGTAAGAAGGCCTGCCCATTTGGTACACAAACGCATTAAGTTTGTTGCGCACACACCCGGGACACATCCGAAAGCGACATTCAATTTCTTGTCTAATGCGATAATCTTTGTAAAATTGCTGGTAATACACCTGGCAGTACATCTCCGGTGTCATATCCTTATACTTCTCCATCCTTTTCATTTTTTTAACAATCTCTTGCATATTTGTTACGTGGGATTTGAAATAACGGAACGACACCGGATAGTGCCAGCCAGGAGTAGGAACTGTTTCATCTCTTGTTTCGGTGCCCTCCTCCGGCACAGGAGTTGTGGAAGGGGGAGTGGGACTGGGAAGCGGAGTGGGAGTGGGAGTGGGAAGGGGAGTGGGAAGGGGAGTGGGAAGGGGAGTGGGAAGGGGAGTGGGAAGGGGAGTGGGAAGGGGAGTGGGAGTGGGATTGGGAAGGGGAAGGGTAGTGGGAGTGGGAGCGGGAATGCCAAATTGCATCAGCCTAGACTCATCTATCCCTTCCCTAAAATATCCTGTTTCGGTTCGTCTCATCGGAAAAATGTAAAAATCCATGTACACTTTTTTTAGGGCCATTTTCCACAACTCCTCGTTCTTCATAATCTCCAATACGATCTTCCTATTATCAACGCTGGCAGCGAACGTTTCGAAAGAGACGGGGAAAATATATGACCCACGACTGCAAAGAGGACAAAGTTGGTAATGTGGTTGTTTAAAAAAAAAAGTCACTCACCTGACCACTTCCACTATAACACCTTCTGAAAGGTTGGGATATACTCCCTCTCCATTTCCGTTTTCATGGTTTCGCACAGCCATTGTACTTGATGATTATTTTGAAAAATTTTACTCTGATATGTGAAAGTCGCAAGAAAAGCCAATATAAAAGTAAAGCGAAGACCAATTACCAAATATTAGAAAAAATACCGTGGATCCTAAAAATATATGGTCTCGCTACTTAGGTTTGGGAATAGGAAAAGCTAAGCCCAAGCTTACACTGAAAAAAATTGAAAGAAGAAAAATATTCTATGTAGTTTAATTTTTGACCCATTTTTTACATGGGGAAAAAAATTTATTTTATAAATATTTCTTTCATAAATTTTTTTTTTTATTTTATAAATATTTATTTCATAAATTTTTTCCCCATTTAAAAAATGAGTCAAAAATTAAACTACATAGAACATCTTTCTTCTTTCAATTTTATTCAGTGTAAGCTTGGGCTTAGTTTTTCCTATTCCCAAACTAAGTAGCGAGACCATATATTTTAAATATATATAAATATAAAAAATGGGTCAAAAATTAAACTACATAGAAAATCTTTCTTCTTTCAATATGCACGGAATAAAAATGCGCACCGACTAAAACCAAGTTTCGGGGAAATTTGTTGATAATTATACCGCCGGTTTTTAAGAAAACTCAAAATTTAACGTACATTTTTAATCAACAGACGTTTTGTTTCTAATTTATTAGTTGCAACTCAGACTACAATTTGGGATCTTCGATCCGACTATGCTAGAGTAGACATACAGGTGTATATGATATTCAGCAGCTGAGCTTCTTTGCCTCCTGGAAGCGGCAAGAGATGTCATCCCAGTTGGCGATGTCCCAGATGGCCTCCACGTATGAGGGGCGCACGTTCTTGTACTGCAGGTAGTAGGCGTGCTCCCAGACGTCGATGCCGAACAGAGGGATCAGCCCGGTGGAGGCCTCCAGGGGATCCTGGTTGGGCAGGGCAGCCAGCTGCAGTTTGCCGGACTTCTTGTTGTAGCCTAGCCAGCCCCAGCCCGATCCCTGGACCGCCACGGTCAGCGTGCTCAGCTCCTTCTTGAAATCCTCGAAACTCTTCCACTGCGACTCAATGGCTTTCTTCAAGTCCTCGCTCGGCTGGCTATTGTTGGGCGAGAGGTTCTGCCAGAAGATGGTGTGGTTTATGTGGCCTCCGCCGTTGAACCGCAAGGCGGGGGCCAGCTGGATCAGCTTGGTGGTGTCGCTCTTCGACTTGGCCTCCTCCAGCTGCTCCTCGGCCGCGTTCAGGTTGTTGACGTAGGTCTGGTGGTGCTTCTGGTGGTGCAGCTCCATGATCTCCCGGCAGATGATCGGCTCCAAGGCGGCATAGTCGTAGGGCAACTTGGGCAGAGTGTGCTTGCCACGCACCGCCAGGCTGTTCAGATTTAAGATTTGTTTGGGTTATATGTATGTTTGCAAGATCAGGGTCGCCATTATAAATAGTATTTGTCGCTATTTATGTAATCCACCGGTAGTGATTTAGCTCTTTAGCATTTGAACCTGCAACTTACCTAGCTGTCTGCGAGATTTTACGGGCCACAAACATCTCTGCGAGTTATTAAGCTGCTTATTGAGTGTGCTCCTTATCTGAGTTTTATAACCAAATAAAACAAGGCTTACGTTTTCTGCTTTTTGGTTCTGTTTTAAGCTTTTTATTTTTTCTAGAGATGTGAGCCAGCGAGAATATTGGTTAATCGCAATCAGTGTGTGATGTGACAAATATCGATATCCCCCTTTCGATTCCAACTCCAAGCTATCCATACTTCTGCACACTGTTTCTCAACACTGTGTTTCAGGCGCGGCACGTTTGAATTTAACAAAGAGTTTCGTGTCTATTGAATGTCAGCCCCGCTGAAACACAACAACATAGCACACAACATGTCGACATTTAAAATTCCCTCACGCATAAAAATCGAAATAACCGATAAGCGGGCACAGGAACTTCTCTACAAATATCTACAACCAAGTAAGTCGAATAAAAACCAAACCAAACCAAGCCGAAGAAGAGTCGAAGTCAATTTTTCCTCCTGCAGCTTGTGAAGACATGAGCAGTGAGGATGAGGGTACCGCCCGCCAGCCCGCTGTGGTCATTGACAACGGGTCCGGGGTGTGCAAGGCCGGATTCTCCACGGAAGACACTCCCCAGGTGGTCTTCCCCTCGATTGTGGGCAGACCACGTCACCTGAACGTCCTGGTGGACTCACTGATCGAAGACAGCGTTATTGGCGAGGCGGCAGTTCGTAAAAGGGGAATGCTCACCCTAAGGTATCCCATCGAGCACGGGGTGGTCAGGAACTGGGAGGACATGGAGAAGATTTGGAAGCACACATACGAGCTGCTCCGGGCGGATCCAATGGATTTTCCGGCGCTCCTCACGGAGGCCCCCCTGAATCCCAAGAAAAACAGGGAGAAGATGACGGAGATCATGTTCGAAGGCTTCCAGGTGCCAGCCCTTTACGTGGCCATTCAGGCCGTACTCTCCCTTTACGCCACCGGACGCACTGTGGGCGTTGTGGTGGACTCCGGGGATGGGGTGACCCACACGGTACCGATCTACGAGGGATACGCCCTGCCCCACGCCTGTGTTCGCGTGGACTTGGCTGGCAGGGATCTCACGGACTACCTGTGCAAGCTGCTCCTGGAAAGGGGTGTCAAGATGAGCACTTCGGCGGAGCGGGAAATCGTGCGGGACATCAAGGAGAAACTCTGCTACGTGTCCATGAACTATGACCAGGAAGTAGACCTGGCGGAATCCGAGGGGGGCTATGAGCTGCCCGATGGTCAAAAGATCACTCTGGGCACCGAACGATTCCGCTGTCCAGAGGCTCTCTTCCAGCCCAGTTTGCTGGGCCAGGAGGTGATGGGCATCCACGAGTCCACCTACCACTCGATCATCAACTGCGACTTGGACCTGCGAAAGGATATGTTTGCGAACATTGTTCTCTCCGGTGGAACGACCATGTTCCGCAATATTGAGCACCGATTCCTTCGGGACCTCACCAAAATGGCACCTCCATCCATCAGAATTAAGATCAACGCCAGCCCGGACCGCAGGTTCTCCGTGTGGTGCGGTGGTTCCGTGCTGTCCTCGCTCACCAGTTTCCAAAATATGTGGATCGACAGCACGGAGTACGACGAAGTGGGTCCAACCATCGTCCACCGCAAGTGCTTCTAGGAGAGCGAAAATATGGAAGTGGGCTAAATGTCGGGAGAGTTTATTTATTATAAGACTTCAGTTCATAATGAGCAATAAAGATATGGCTTTATATTACAAAATTAATTTCATATAGTTCGCTTGGAATTGGACCAGTTTGTATGCCCAAGTGTAGCGATGCTCAGAAACTTTACTTAAAATTACATCCCAATCCATTTTCCAATATTATTCAACATATTAAATGGAATGCCAGTTTTATAGCTCTTAAATCGACATCGATCTTGCCGAATGCAATCTTAAAATATTCATATAAACGCAATCATTAGCATCAAATTTCGCTGACAACTGCTGCACTTTGATTCTAATTAATTGGGAATTTATTAAGCCAAATGACGCATTCGAATGTGTGCGATTTCCACATCTCAGCGAGAATCGAGCACCACGTAGTAACCTTAACTTCCTTCCAGTTGCACGTGCACCGGGCGACAACAAAAGCCAAGTTGCAAGCGTTCACCTTCGGAGTCGCAATCATAATCGGCAAGCTCCATCATTTCGCAGTCAGCTGCACTTGAGGCTGGAGGCGCTTTTGTTTGAGCTCTTCACTCGACTCCGAACACGGATCCACGGAGACAAACAGCACACGCGTGCTCGAAGAGCAGCAGCTGCACCGTCGGCACAGCCATGAAGACATAGCATTAGCACCAGCATTAGCATTAGCATTAGCCTCAGCCTCAGCCCTTCTAAACGCATCCGATCATCGGAAGATCATATGAAGTCGGAGGTGGGGATCGCAGCTGCTGAGGCACCAGACTGGCACTTATCTCTGCATTCAACATTTATAATCAGAATAGGTTATTCTATTTTTAGTCCCACCGAATAGACCCCAGATCAGTCGTCATAAACTAGAGCCCATTTGGCTAAGCTTAACAAATGATATACGAAAGGCCTCGTTTGATTAAATGTCAATATAAAAATTAACCAAGGAATAATAACCTTGTTAGGTTAACCAACGGGTTTTGTGGGAAACAAGAGAAAGCTTTATTGAAAGTCCATGCTCCTCCAAGGACCTAATCCTTAAGATCATCTTAGCAACGATGTCAAGGCGAGAAGATCAAATCCAGTGATGGCTTAGATTTTTCATACTGGAAAATTCTTATTTTAATAGTTAAATCATTTCCTTAAATGTGATGATACCTGAACCCATTGACGTTCTACATTCCAATGATTGGGGAGTTGACAAAGCAAAAGGGTGATGGGCGATACATATTATATATAATCAAGAAACATACTATAAAAATCATTGATGCATCTTTCGTTCGAAGTGCAATGTTTAATAAGACCCTGGCCCATTTCCAGTGGCAAATCATTATGCGATCGGCCAGGTGAGACTGGGTTTTGAGTAAGAATCGAGTTGACAGCCGCTTGAAAGGGTTTTTCATGTCAAATGGGTATCTGTGCCAAGTCGCTGGCTGCGGTGACTGTTTTGATTTTGATTTGGTTTTTTGTGGCAGTATACTGACTCCAAGGTTGCGTAAATTCATCACTTCACTTCGCTCCTGGGGGCAGAGCTACTGCAATTTTGTAAATTGTTTCCACTTGGTTACCTCATGGCTAACGTGGATTTATATATCACTTTGGATGGGCCTGCTTTTTATTTACTTACTTTTTATTAAACACCCGAACACAGATGGATTCAAATTCGTGAGGCTATAAATTAAAAAGGGACACGGAGCACATCATGGCGAGTGGGTGGGGGCCAAAGTTGGAGATGGCGATGGAGTTTGAGATGGAGATGGAGGCATCATTGTGTCATGCCGCGAGTCGCGGCTCCATGAGCTTGTAGCCTGATTTGGCCAAGTCTTCTGGCACTTGGATGATGTCGCCGCAGTCGCTAATTTCATATGCATGCAATGGAGCGTGGCCTAATGCGATGTTGTTTGCCGCAGATGCATGTGCACGTTCCGTTCGATGATCCGGAGGCGATAGTTCCCAGGCTAAGGGGCCTTCCCTTCTCCCTTCTCCGGCAGCAACCCCACTTAAATGGTTCGCTTTGGCCAGCTGCCCCGAGCTGCGTGGTTTATTTTTATTACCTGTTGCGTTTGCCCTCGTGTCATATCAAATTAAATAAGCCCAATTTATGCGAACCCAACTGGGAAAACAAGAGGACTATGGCACCAAAGGAAGTCGAGCCCAAGATACCCTACCAATCATATCTTTCTATATATTTATAAATTTCCATAGATTTCTATTTATTTCCATACATTTCTTTATATTTCCATATATTTCTATATATCTATAAAGTTGTACAGATTTGTATACATTTTCATACATTTGTATATATATATATATATCTATAGATTTCCATACATTTTTATATATATATATCTATAGATTTCCATAGATTTCTATACATTTTTTTATTTTTCCATATATATTTATATATATCTATAAATTTCCGTTTATGAAAACTAAACAAGAACACCTTACCATCCTTGACATTGATTTAGAACTTAAATATTAAATCTGCATTAATTATAAATAAATAAAATATAAAATCCTTAAAATATATTTTACTTATTTTTTGTCAGAGGCCTACAAATTATGCTATACCCATAACAAGGGTATTTTCCCATTGCGCAGCTGCCAAAAATGTTGTCAATTCGAAGGCAATGTCCTGGCATCCTTCCTTTCGCATCTGGGTGGGAGTCGGAATCCTGCGGCAATGAGCTCATTATCCAAACAGCGACTCAATGGAGCAGGCGGACAGTACAACCTCCCGGCTGCGCTGGATTTGCGCCTGTGGACTGGCCCTCTCCGTGTATTCACTGTACGTGAAAATGAAAATGGAGGATGATGAGAACTACAAGCCCCTCTGCGATGTGAATGATAATATTAGCTGCTCGGTGGTATTTAAATCAGTGTAAGATCTCTTGAACTAAAACTCGACTTCAGTTATGTGACCCTCTTAATTCTTAGATATGGTGAAGGCTTTGGGCTTAGTAAAATAACCAAACTGAATTTCCCCAACGGAGTCATTGGATGTGCATTTTACATGCTCTATTTTCTGAGCTGTAAGTCCTTTACTAAATGTAAAGATTTAATTTTAACAAATCTCGTTGACAGCCTTTTTGGAACATCAGTTGCTGTGCCTGGCCCAATTGGTAATATGCACTTTGACCCTATTCCTCTGCGTTTATCTGGGATTCCTGCTCCTGTTCGTCTTTTACGACTGCTGTTTGGTGTGCCTGGCCATCTATTTAATACACACATGGCTCTTTCAGGAAGTCCTACGTCGCTATAGACGTCTCTATTTGTAAGATTTGTGTTAATTTGATGAAAGTACGAAGAAGATAAAGGCTGGAGATGAGCTACTAACCAGTGAGTTATTATAAACTGTCGACGTTTTGACCCACACGTCTGGCTTTCAGCAGGATGTTCGGCTGGCAACTTGCAACTGCCAACTTCCATATGCCAACTTCCAACTCCCATGACCAAGCACGTAGTGGAGCAATTAATTCTGCACGTTCCCATTTGCCGGCGAAGGCTGCGATCTGTGATCTGCGATCTGCGAATGGCGCTACTGGCAACCGAGTTGGCCAAGTTAACAAGGTGGGCGGACTGCGAAAACTCAGCGCAATTAATTTCCCATAAGTTCGGGAATCCCTTTGTGTGGGCTTGGGTTCCGATTCGGCTGGGCTGAATAACTGAATCAATGAATGGGTAGGAGTACAATGGGTATGCCAAATCTAAGTAGTGCCCTCAAGGTAATATTTTGACGAATTTCCTGTGCTAAAAAGGAAATAAGTTTAGTTCCTTCAATGGCAAATCCTTTAAAAACTTATTTATGACATTGCATGGCTGGATTTATAAATGTGATTTTCCATTGCCATCATAACAATTAAGCTTTAATTGTTTAGAAAATAAAGTTACTAGTTAACTATCTTAGTTGTAAACTATCAAATTGAGCTGTCGTATGGATACTCCAATCAGAAGAATCAGTCTCATTAGTTCCACGGTGCCCTTCTTCCTTCAACTTATCCGCAGATCTCCACAATCTCCGATCTGATCCGATCCGATCGACTCGACCCTTCTACACCCTTCAGACGCATATGCGGATCCTACTCCCAATTGGGGTCGCCGCTGACACGATCTTCTTCAATATGTCGCTGGGCTTTTTACTATTTTTTCGCTCTGACAAGGCAAACAAATGCAAACTTCGGCGCTTGTCACAGCAACCAGTAAACCACCGAACCACCAATCCACCAATCCACCGAACCACTCGCTTGGGAGAGTGAGCCACGGCAGACGCCGCCGACACATTCACCCAGTGGAGAGTGGAGTAGACCGAGTAGACTACTTTGGGCCAACGCAACTGAGGATCCAGAGTACAATCACCACCTCGCCGCGCCTCGAGAAGATGTGCGCCAGAAGAAGGCAAATCAGCACGAGACGAAAACGAAACCGAGGCACCCTTCACGCGAAGTCTGGCGGAGATCGGGGCGGTGTGGAGTAGAGTGTAGTGTAGTGGAGTGGAGTGGAGCAAGCTCGGCGATTGAGATTTTTCTGTGGACCGCATAGAATCAGCCACCGCTTCTGCGAAGACGATCGTATGTGGCAGTGGCAGCAGCTGTTGCCACACGCTCCAAAACCACCTCCAACTCATAATCGAGTTCGTGTGTGTGGTGTGTGCATCCTAGACTTTCAGTTTGCCTTTGCCACATATAAATACGCCATGTGGCAGCAGCCAGAGATCAGTCAGAATTCGGCGCTGCTTCCAAGCGCAAGCCTCATCCCATAGAGATTCGATCAGCATCCGCAGTCCGCAGCCGCAGCTCCAGTTGGATATGTTCAAGTTACTCGGTCTGACGCTGCTCATGGCGGTGGTGGTCCTTGGGCGACCGGAGCCACCAGTCAACTCGTATTTACCCCCATCCGACAGCTATGGAGCCCCGGGTCAGAGTGGTCCGGGTGGCCGGCCCTCGGACTCCTATGGAGCTCCGGGTGGCGGCAATGGCAACGGTGGACGCCCCTCGGACAGCTACGGAGCTCCTGGCCAGGGTCAGGGTCAGGGACAAGGACAGGGGCAAGGTGGCTTCGGCGGCAAGCCTTCGGATTCGTATGGCGCTCCTGGTGGCGGCAACGGCAATGGCAACGGCGGAGGTCGTCCATCGAGTAGTTACGGAGCTCCTGGTCAGGGCCAAGGTGGATTTGGAGGACGCCCCTCGGACTCTTATGGTGCTCCCGGTGGCGGAAACGGAAATGGCAACGGAGGTCGCCCCTCGGGCAGCTATGGAGCTCCTGGCCAAGGACAAGGCAACGGAAACGGAAACGGCGGTCGTCCTTCGAGCAGCTATGGTGCTCCTGGTGGCGGAAGTGGTGGTCGTCCCTCGGACACCTATGGTGCTCCTGGTGGCGGCAACGGTGGCGGTCGTCCTTCGAACAGCTACGGAGCTCCTGGTCAGAGACAAGGTGGAATTGGCGGACGTCCTTCGGACTCTTATGGTGCTCCTGGTCAGGGCCAAAAGCCCTCGGACTCCTATGGAGCCCCAGGTAACGGCAACGGCAACGGCAGCGGTGGGCGTCCTTCGAGCAGCTATGGAGCGCCGGGATCAGGACCTGGCGGCCGTCCCTCCGACTCCTACGGACCCCCGGCCTCTGGATCTGGAGCTGGCGGTGCTGGAGGCAGTGGACCCGGCGGCGCTGACTACGAAAACGACGTGAGTAGCGGGTAGTTATGAATTGGGTTTTTGGCCACTGGAACACGGGATCTGTTATCGGGGATCACTGGGTGGAAAGGAGCAAGGGGAATACCTCTCCACCACTCCACCACTCCACCGCCCACACCGCTGCACACCTGCCCTTGCAAATCTTTGGTAGAATCGTTCTCGCTCACCTGCACCGCCTCCTGGCGCTTAAAGCTTGCATCCCCAGACATTTGAATTCTTGATCCTAGCCACTCTATCTCTCTGTGTTTCTCTCTTTCTCCACACGCCCCAATCCGCTCTCCATTCTCCATGATCCATGATCCGCTGTCCATGCTCCATGCTCCATGCTCCATGCTCCATGCTCCATGCTCCGTTCTCCGGCGTTTAGGAGCCCGCCAAGTACGAATTTAATTACCAGGTTGAGGACGCGCCCAGCGGACTCTCGTTCGGGCACTCAGAGATGCGCGACGGTGACTTCACCACCGGCCAGTACAATGTCCTGTTGCCCGACGGAAGGAAGCAAGTAAGAGGCGGCGGCGGGCAACAGGAGTGGACGTGGACCCACCCACTGCTCCTCCCCCTCCTGTCACTGCTAACCCCCTTCTCCCCTTCTCTTCCGCAGATCGTGGAGTACGAGGCCGACCAGCAGGGCTACAGGCCGCAGATCCGCTACGAGGGTGATGCCAACGATGGCGGTGGTGCCAATGGTCCCAGCGGCTCTGGCGGCCAGAATCTCGGACCCGACGGCTACTCCAACGGACGTCCTGGCAATGGCAATGGCAACGGCAATGGCGGTTACTCTGGAGGTCGTCCCGGAGGTCAGGACTTGGGTCGCGATGGTTACTCCGGAGGACGTCCAGGCGGTCAGGACTTGGGACCAGGTGGCTACTCTGGAGGACGACCAGGCGGCCAGGACTTGGGACCTGGTGGCTACTCTGGAGGACGACCAGGCGGTCAGGACTTGGGACCTGGTGGCTACTCCGGTGGTCGTCCCGGTGGCCAGGATTTGGGCGCAGGTGGTTACTCCGGTGGTCGTCCCGGTGGCCAGGACTTGGGTCGCGATGGTTACTCAGGCGGAAGACCAGGAGGTCAGGATCTAGGAGCAGGTGGCTACTCCAATGGCAGGCCAGGCGGCAATGGAAACGGAGGCAATGGCAACGGTAATGGTGGCTCCGATGGCGGTCGTGTCATCATCGGTGGACGTGTGATTGGCGGTCAGGATGGCGGTGATCAGAGCTACTCCGGTGGACGTCCCGGCGGCCAGGATCTGGGCCGTGATGGGTACTCCAGTGGTCGTCCAGGCGGCCGTCCGGGCGCCAATGGCCAGGACAACCAAGATGGCCAGGGATACTCGAGCGGCAAGCCGGGCCAGGGTGGCCGGAATGGCTTTGGACCCGGTGGCCAGAACGGCGACAACGATGGCAGCGGTTATCGGTACTAGAAACGACTCCCAGACACATTAAGCTAGATCCCTCGAACTTATAGCAGTACCTAGTTGTAAGTCCTTCTAGAACCATGTCCACGATCTGTCCCCCCTCCCCTCGACATCTCTTCGTGCCCATTCTTCTCTCCTTCCCGCTGCCCTCTGTCCATTACTACTCCTCACATCCACACATCCTCGTAGCCGTAAGACCCTGTTGTTGTAAATGCAAGTGCGAAAAATAACCCAAAAAAAGAATGAAATGATAAAGCTATATCTGATGTAAGTAAAGAGATTAAATATATATTTTTATATAAAACTTTGGCTTGAATTTAATTTTGTTGGGCAAAAAATCATAGGAATTTGGTAAACAAATAAAAAACTGGGCAGTTTTTAGAAAATTAGAAATAGAATATCAATACATTCGACGTTTTTAAACAAAATATATTTTTTCAGCGAAGGAAAATAGGTTTGAGGACCAAAGACTTTTACTTCCCTAAGAAAAACAAGTGTCTTTTTAAACTTTAACAGCTTTTTAACTTAGAAATTTGGCCAATATATTATTACCACACATTAAGAGCAGAGCTCATTTTAAAAACTGCGAACTAATAAAAAAGCCAATTGCTTTGTTAATTCGATTAATGCTGTCTTAAAAGTCTTTTAATTGTTTTCAAATTTAAATATTTTAAATCAGGAACAATCGAAAGAAAACCGTTAGGAAAAGCAACGATGAACCGATAGTTTTTTTCATCGATAAGCCCTGCCAAGCATCTATGCCACTGATGTTTTTAAAAACATCGATAACATAATGTTTCCACCTCTAGGCGGCGTCGCGCGCGGATCATTTTGCTATTTGCTGCTCAGTTTTTGCTGTTCTGGAAGAAATAACAAACCCGCGGAAGAAGCCAATAAGTGTAGTGAATAGTAATCAAACGAGCGCGGCGTCGCGCATTAACTCAGTTACAATTAACCGGATTACAATGCTCCAGTTGGCTCTCGAAGTGAGTTGCAAGTGTGGGTTACGCTGGGCGGGGAGGAAACAGAAACTATAAATAACAATATGCAGCGCTATCTTTATCTTTGTCCATTTGTCGCCCAAACATATCCAAGTATCAAGTGCAATTCGCGTTCTTTTTTCGGACCGATTACGAAACTACGCCAGAAGTGGGTTGTGAGTGGGCGGTGGGTGGCCCATGGGCGGCGGGCGGTGGGCGGTTCACTTTGCATACAATGAGCTTAGAACGTTAACGAAAGCAAATTGCGTGAGTGCCTGTGTATCTGTGTTTATGTTCGGCTTCGCCTTTTGCTTTTCGTGTTCAATGCTATCGATTTGTTGCCCCTGCCGGCGGATATGAATATACATATTCTACGTCTCGAAATGTGAATCATCTGGGGTCGGTCAATAAATTCACTTAGCACCTCCTTTCGGCATTAGATCAGGTGATAAGCGGAGTGATAAGGAGATACACACAAAGTCCCAGCAACGCCTCTCGAAGTTCAAGTGCCAGCTGCTTGCGGTGGACACTGAAAAAAATGTGTTCACTTTTGAAATCGTAACAAAATACCGTTTGAAAACCTCAGTAGAATCCCATTGGAATATGAAATATATTGTCTTTTATTATCGGGTCTAAAAGTGATTCGATTCTCTGACGTTTACCAGTTGTAAACAACAATCAGAATTATATAAATAGATTCGCATAACGCATTTTTATTCATTGAATAAAAAGAAATAGTAATAGTGCGGTTTCATTACCTACGTCATTTTAAAAGATTTGTATGAATTTATTATTATAAGCTAATTATCATATATAGTCATTTTATACCACATTTCATTTCATAATGATATTTACCATTATGAGTATTCTTGAATGTTAGGGAAATTAGTTACAGTTTGGAGAATAAATATTGGTGTAGTATTTCAAAGCCGAACATTTTTTTTTGTACTGTACTTGTTTTTCCTGGACTTGCCCAACAGGATATGTGCGACAGATGTTTCTGCCTGGGTTACAGAGATGCTGAATTTCAAGGTTTCTTCGCCTCGCCTCGAATTGCCTTTTGTTCGTATTCCTTGGTCTTAAGTACAGCCACTCGAACCAGAAATTGGGTAAGTGGCGCACTTCTAGGCTCGATGCTCCGACTGGATGGATGCTCACCGAGTGACCCACTTTGGCGGCTTACATGTGGTGTGGATCGCATGCTCATATAAGCACCTCATGGAACAAATACAAAACATGAGAATAGGAGGCGAAAGAAGAAACCCCAGCTCGATTGCTCGGCCTTCCTTCGCATTGTTTTTTACGTACCCTATAAGTGGGTATAATATTTGCGACCCTAAGTTGGCTAGGCCGTCAAGAGAAAATCTCGAGACCTGTAAATTACACCTGAACATTCTTATCTATCCGCACATCTTACATTCAAGATAAACATCTCAAACTGAAATGTTTTTCTCTGCTATTCAGATATCTACCTGTTTTTTCTCGAAAACGAATATCTAAATCCAAATGCCATCTGTTTGAAATTATGCACAGAACCTTTATTCTGGTTTTCGTTCTATATACAAATTCGGAACAGCCGGAAGCGGATGACTATTTTATTTGGGTGCCATAAAAACAATTTACAGCTTGCCTTTATGGCAGTCTGTTTGTTGAATTCAAGGATTATTGAAAGATACCGTTTATAGTCCTGATTATTAATGATCGAACTACAAGTAGGTCAGTCATGAAATTAAAGTCTCATAACTCAAGACTACAACATACTATTTCTGTAAGAGGGTATCTCCGTCTTCGATCTTTAAAGCCAGGATTTCTTGCTTTGTTGCTGCTTTGGCACTTTTCATTTGTAGTTTCTCTCTTGTTTTTAACCAGCGTAATTGCATGTATTTATTCTGGCATGCATGTGTAAGCAAATAGTGAGACGATTGTCTGATAACGCCCCTCGGTTTTCAATGGGAGATTAGCTAAATGTTTTCCCACTCATTCAAGTCGAAGGTTTATCGCAATAAATGCTAAATATTTAATTTTAATCGTAATCTTCTGAGGTGGTTATTGAACCTGACAGCACAAAATTGTAAATGCGAAGATCACTGGCGACAGCCACTCGGCGTTGACCTTGTGTAACGATAATATATGTAAATATTTCGCCACATTTCCGAATAGCAAAGAAAGCTGTTCCAGAGATCTTTAACCCCCCTTTCTAGAAGCCCAGGGTCAGTGCGAGTCAGCGAAAAGGTTGAACTGCAAATTCACTTGATGGCCAGTCACTTGTCATCACTGCGAATTCCAGAGCGACCCACAAGAAAAAGAATTTATCAATGGAAAACGCCAACACAAAAAGAAACGAGAAAATAGCGCCGAGTTTCCTCGAGATTATGTAGAAATGTGCGGGTATGTATTGTATTTTATTTAAATACAATTGCAGGCCTGATAAACAAAAAGAACCGAGGAAAGAAATCGCGGAGGCAAAATGTGATTTCCTCGAACTCTGCAGCTGTGTTGTTTGTTTTCCTTCAAGAAATTTATGTAAAAACAATAAACACACTGGAATATCTGGGGGGAAGTATCTATAGTGGGCGGCACACATTTCGCCATTTCCCTGACCACGAAAACAACAGTGTTCATTCGACCATCAAAAGTTTACAAATTCGCATTAAAGGAGCGCGCTGTCTGGCAGGAATTATTTACATATGCCATGGATTAAATTGTACCCAGTGGGCAGAACTTTATGGCCCTCACATGAGGCGAGTTAATTGTTTGGCATTAATTGCATTTGATATCTCCATAAAAAAGCTGCCCAACCAAAAGGAAATCCAGAAGAAAAATGGCACAGATTGGCGTTGATACATACACCCATTTATACATATATGAATATACAGCGAAGAGTGATGTGTATATGGAATAGTTCAAATAGTCAATAAAGTCCATTTGCTCAAAAATCTTGAGGCAGTCGTCTGGCATTTTGGAATATAATTTGAGTTCGCCTTTTGTCTTGTCTACATTTTGTTTCTGTTTTTCTGGCCTTTCCGTCCAATTCGTTTTCATTTCATCTATATCTCCCACATGTATGTACGCTGTATATTCTTGTAAATACGCTGCAATTGAATTGGGTTATAAGAAAAATGAAATCCCAATTCAGAGATACGAGTTTCACATGATTAGAATAATAATACCGAATAAAAACAACAGACATCGTTCCCAGCCGATATCATCCTCTTCCGTTTTGGCATGCTATCTTTCGGTTTTCGCCCATAAGTCTCTCGAGATAATTACACTGATGCTGGATAATTCCATTTGCTCTAACGCAATGGCGCAGAATAATCGAAGAATATAGCAGAGAAAATTCCAATGACAATGTGTGGACGTCATTGCGTTTGATCAGCTTTTGCTTTGAAATGATTATAACTTAATTGAAATTAATTAGACGGGGTCAGCACAGTCAGTCTTAAAGAAATTGTGTAGATATACACATGCAATGGTGGGTAGTATATGGGTAGCTGTTTTTATAGATATGTAGGTACAGTAAAATTAAACTTAAACTTATTTATTTATTTTAAAAATATCTGTGAATAGCTTTGTATAATTCGTTTTATACCTCATATAACTACATGATATTATATATATATTTGACCGACTGCATTTGTTTTCTCGAAAGGGGGGGAATTCCGGACACTATTGGGCTGTTTTAATTTCCTTTCCTATGGCATAGTTGACGGGTTCACTGAACTAAGTCGAAAACCAATTTGGTTTCTGACCGGGTGACTTGTTTTCCAACCAAACTTTCCGCTGACCGCTGCAGCCCGATACTTTTTATCAGCGGCTTGCACCCCCGAAAAGCTATTTGACCACTCGAGACCATAAAAGAGCGGGGAATGGCCGCCTCGCACCGCTCGTGACTCACATGGCCCGTTCCATTGGAAATCGAGCAGCGAAGCGTGCCAGAAGCTCCGCTCCGGCTTGCCACCAGTTTTTTTTATATCAATTTTTTAGGTTTTTTTTTCTTATTTTGTTACTACCGTTCGTGCAACACAAAAGCCACAATGCAGAACTGAGGAAAACAAACTCGGTTTCAGTCAACAAAAAGTCTGCCCAGTGCGCGGAACACCGAAAGCCGAAACTTTATCACGAAGTAAACTCGAGTCTCTTTCATTGCAGTTTTGAAAAGCTGGTCGAAGTCCACAGACAGCCTGAGTTGGCTGCCATGATGCGATACTCGGAAATCTCACGCGACCTGTCCACGGATAATCTGCGCTACTCAGAGGTGACAATCTCAATACTTTCCCCGCAAAAACACTTTTATATTGTCTTTTGGTTTGTTGATGTTTCAGCTAAGCAGAAAAGCCACCACGGACTATAATGGATACACGGGTCAGGCCTATGCACCGACTCAATTCAAGCAGAGCTCACCTCCTCCGCAACAGCAGCAGCCAACTCGGCTGGCCAAACAACGAAGTCCAAACAGCAACGGAAATGCCCATACCATGGCCTGTTTGCGACAGGAGAAGACCCAAAAGGATCACCAGATGGAACCGCCCATGACGCAACCGCAAACCAGCAAAACCCTGAATATCAAGAGCACTCGTCGCAAGAACTCCATCGGTTGTCTAAACAGTTTCTCCTCTTCGCCAGACTCGCCGGGCTGCTACTATACCATAGCGTAAGTTATTAGTAAAACCAAGGGAGTACCACTTATTTCCGAAAAATTGGTAGATAGATTCATTTTATTTTGACTCGGCCATCCGCCAATTAGAAGCACACAAATTTGAGAACAATAACAAACACACTCCTAATTATATTTTGCTTGGTTATTTAGAGCCTCGGCAGCACCGCCGTCCAAATCGCAAAGTTTGCCAGCCCACGCCTCCATCAAGCAGTTGGATGCGGTTATCATGAGCGCGTTACGTGTACCCGCCGACGTGTTGGCCAACCAGATAACGCTACTGGATTTTCCGGTCTTCGGCCAGATTCAACCAGATGAACTGAGCAGTTGTGCCTGGACGAAAAAGGACAAGCATGTCAACACCCCTAATATTGTGGCATTTACAAAACGATTTAACCACACGAGCTTTTGGACAGTGCAGGAAATATTGAATGCCGAGCAACCGAAGCAGAGAGCTGAAATAATGACGCACTTTATCAAGGTGAGAAAATAAGACTAAGATAATTTCTTGGTTGGTTAACTATATCAATGAAATCTTCCTTTTTTAGGTGGCTAAAAAGCTCCATGAGCTCAACAATCTGCACTCGCTGTTTGCCATTATTTCGGCCATGCAAAGCGCCAGCATTTACCGCTTGACAAAAACCTGGGCTTGCCTATCGAAAAAGGATCGCCAGTCCTTCGAGAGACTCAGCGATATATTTAGCGACCAGGACAACTGGGCCAATCTGCGTTCCTACCTTGAAAGCCTGCGCCTGCCCTGCATCCCCTATCTGGGTCTCTTTCTCACCGATCTGATCTACATTGATTTGGCCCATCCGCACAAGGGAGGATTGGAGCCGGAGCAGCGCCGAAATAAGATGAACAATATACTGCGGGTTATTTCGAACTATCAGCAGTCGGACTACAAGCATCTACAGAAGCATGAGGCCACACAAAAGTATCTGACATCCATAAGATACATAGAGGAATTGCAGAATATATTCGAAGAGGATCAGTACAAGTAAGGGGCACTCTTAGGACATTTCGTTACGTAATTTTGAGATTTGAAAAGCATAGATTAGCTATGGTTATAATGTGGGGACAATCTTTTAACTTTGAATTACGATTAGAAATATATATTTGTTTTATTTCATTCATTCTCATTCAAAAGACTTAAAATTCATAATAAATCCTAATATATCAATGAAACCGTAATTAAATACAATTTATACATTTATATCCCTTAATCGTATATTACAAATATATTTTAATTGTGGTATATACAGTCATTAATTCTAAGGAAGCCTCCTCAATTGTCACAACATTTATATAAATGATTAATGGAAACACATGTTAGTCACCCTCTTTAAACCAAAGTTAATTGTTGTGGTTTTGATATCTCCACATATTATAAATTATACTAAAATGTTTTTGTTTTACCTTTCAGGCGATCTCTGAATCTTGAGCCTGCGTCGCCCTCTGGACCCAGTTCATCGTCTTGCAGTTCGAAGGAATCTTTCAACGTGGAGGCAGTAACTCCGGCTTTGGGCTGTGTGAATCTCTCGCCGGCCAAGACCATTGGCTCCATGCGCATGGCCAGCGGCACCAAGTTTGTGCCGGGTCATCGCAAGTGTCGCAGTCTGGGCACCAAGTAAGTAAACACATCCCTTTGAATTCCTTTGTTAACCACCTGTTTAACTCAACCACCTCGAATCACTGCGCAATAATTGGACATGTGTACACCGGGTCCTTATTAATCGTTTAAACCTCGTCTCGTTTGATCTCTGTCTCTCACTCAATTGCTTTAATTTTGGCTTATGCTTTCGTTTTGTGTGTGTTATCGTTAATTGTCCACATCCGCCACTGCCCAAAATGAATGAAGATTTCGCAGCAGCAGCCTGCCGCGAAACTTTGCCGAGAAGTGCCAATGTTGCATCGTGATGATTGCGCCGGGCATTGGCACCATCTCCAACAAGCGTTGCAGATGCCGTCGGTGAGTCCAGAACAGAGTGCTGTAGATAGGATATGTGTAATGCCAGCCTGTAACCGATACTGATCCGATGCGTTACCATCATTGTACCATTTGAAATGTTCAGTTTTTGCCTCTTAATTTTATTTCGTTTGCACGGACCCGAGTTGGAATTGCTTCGTATGAAATACACAAAAGACACGCCTCCTCACGTTACCATTCGTTTCATTCGTTTTCGACATGGGATCTCATCCTCTTGTTATAATAAGCACACATCCTGTCCATTTACATATACAAAAGGTAGTTTCGTTATTATTTTAAACAAGTAATCTTTGAGCATTTCCCAAAAGAAAAGGGATTATACAAAATAGCCACCTCCAAAAACAATAAAATCAGTAAAATGAGAAGAGTATAATTATAATCTATACTTTTAGCTTCAATAAAATTTTGCAATGGGAATTAATAACAGATTACTTGTTGCATTCATAAAACGACTAAACCTTTTACAAAAACAAAACGCAGTTCATCCTTGTTTGCCTATTTGCAATATCATTTGTTCTCATTTGCTTGAACAGCATGAATGAATTCCTCACCCAAATAAATAGTTGACTAAACCGTTGTGTTCCCTTACAGCATTTTTGGCAAGATCGCGCTGCACAGCCACGGCGATGGGCATCCTCACCACCTGCACCTGGAACTGGATCCCAGTCAAGTGCAGCCTCGCCACCACCTCTTAGATGATTCGGTTCTGGAACAGAGCGACCCCTTATCCCAGGCGGATCTCACATCCTTGGAAAGTGCCGAGGGAATTATGTGTGATTTTACCGGCAGTGATTGCGATTTGATGTCTCCGGAGGCAGCGGCCGCCATGCAGGGATGTGTCCGTCGGAAAACGGTCCAGAAGGAGGGTAGGAAGCCGGCAGTGGCCTCTTGGCAGCGATACTGGCTACAGATCTGGGAAAACTCGCTGCTGTATTTCCAACCAAAGTCCTTCAAGGGCAGTGAGCGCAGCGACTTCAAGCGGGAGCCGTGTAAAGTGTGTCCTTTGGATGGATGGTATGCCCATGTCAGCGATAATACCAAGCACAAGAACACCTTTGAGCTGAGCCACCGGTCCTCGGGCACCGTTTATCGCTTCCGCACGGACAGCCCGCAGATGACGCACCTATGGTCGAACGCCATTTGCAAACTGGCCACCATGCGAGTGCCCAGGCCTTTGCCCACCAACCTGATGTCCTTCGAATGAGCAGGGCCCCCCAAGAACATACAGGAACTCGAATATATTGTACTCATCGTAGCCTAGTATACCTAGTTTAGTTAGCTTAATCCCTTGAAACGTGCACAGCCAAAAAAAACACCCACCAAACCACTCACTCACTCCCTGAAACGAGGCAACCACAGAACATTCCCACAACCACAACGAACGAACAAATGGAAGCCTGCAAATAGATGAATCGATTTCTACATGGTATTTCAAAAGACTGACACCGAAGGAGAATCCGAGGAGAAAGTAGAGGAGGAGCAGTACCGGAGGAAAAGCCACACAATCACACAACAACAGACTAAACCGACAACGCACGGGAATTAGAATCCCAAATATGTAACGGCCCTGTTCTTAAAGTCCAATTTTATTCGAATTTGGCGGAAACGGAGTTGATAAAATGGGACGTCATCGAATAAACATTTTTTATAAGCTTGTCCTCAATGACTCAGAGTTGAGAGTGTTGTTTTCAACTCCCAATCCACCAAATTCCGCAACAGGGCTGTATATTTAATAATGTGCTTTCCTTGCTGTATTTTGTATATGTAAAATTTAATATTAAGGAAATTACTTTGACATTTACTCAATTTAATTTCGCGATAATCGTGCCATATTAGTTCTAAATTTATGTTCACACAACGATTGTTGGCCAGCAAACGAATCCGAATTCGCTTTGCCCAACGCCTAACTTTGCAACAAAGAATCAAAAATCAAACGAACTTTCTACGCGTAACTAAGGGCTTTAATATTGTATCGCTACCACTATCATGATCAACATCAGTTAATCTGTATATCTGCCTTAAGTTGATGCACTCTAGACATAACCAGAGCTATAGAAAACATAAGTATCCCGTAATATGCATGCGTGAATTGTAGGAAACGAAAGTAATGTGTTAGTGTTTCTGTTTTTTTTTCTGTTGAGACGGCCTCATGAATTGTAACTCCTAAGCTTTGTCACACATACAGATTATCATTTGCAGCGATTTTACATTAGTTTAAGAAAGAAATGCAACAAAAACAAAATAAACCACAAAACGAAAGAAAGAAATTTGTGTTATATAAGGCATCTAGGGTTATTTACAAGCAAATCAGATCGTGCAAAGTGCGGGAATTTGCAATTCATTCGCACAGACGCACTGAATCCCAATTAGGGAGCTCGGCTCGCCGTAAAACTGGAGGCCTTTAAAACGTGAAGATTGGTTAATAGCGTCGCCAGTCGATTGCGAAACATGAAAGCGGCGAAAAGTGGCGGCAGGATGGCATTTCCGTGGATTAAAATTAAACCCCTGCTGATGCTGCTAGCACTAATGTTCATTTTCTTCAGCTGCTGTCTGGGCGGCAAGACGACCACCTTGTAAGAGGATTACGCAACCATCCAGCCACTAGACCACTTTCACTAATACATCCCATCCTCCTTTCTCCCTTTCGGAAAGCGCAGTGTCAGCCACACAGACACCCTGGATCCGCAGGCCGATGGCTTCTGGGCCAACAAGACCACTTGGAACGCCCGGTGGGTGAAGTACTGGCGGGCCAAGAAGATCTACGAGCCGGTGTGGAAGAAGGTCTGGACACCCACCATCCACAACGAGTGGGTGCCCCTGCCCAACGCCCCCAACGAATGGGAGACGGAGAAGGGCCACTCGTACAAATGACACTGAGACTGAAACATAGGCTAGTTAGTTATTTATCTTTTACTTTTATTTTGTATTCACTGGTAATTAAAGTCTAGAGATAATTTAAAGTGGCGCCAAGGCAAATGGAAGTGGATGGATGGCCTTATGAGCTAGCGACTGGTTTACGACTATTTACAAGGAGCTTGGAACCGGGCGTTGTGATGCAACCGCTTTGGTGCAACGATGCAGTGATGCAATGGCCTCCTACGCGCCGGGAAACTTGAATGACTGCGAGGTGGCCGCCACCGAGGCGGCGGGAGCGGCAACAGGGGACTTGGCCGTCTCCAGGGACTTGGCCTGGAAGTCGGCGCTGGCCACTGGCTGCAGCAAAGTTGGCTTGCCGGCGGCATTGGTGTCGTCTCGTTTCCACACCACCTTATCCTTGCCATCTGCCGACTTGGTGGCCGTGACCCCCGTATCCTTGCGATCCCAGTCAAAGCCGTGCTCATGGTGATGGTCGTGGTGGTGGTCTGGCGACGGGAACCACTCGGATATGACAACTGGCTTCCAGATCTTCTTCCAGCCGGGTACCCAGATTTCCTTCCAGCCGGGCACCCAGATCTGTTTCCAAGCCTCCTTCCATTCCTGAAAAATTTCCGAAAATAATGATACTTAATTGCTCCAAGGCTTGTCGTATTACTTAAACATACCAATTTATCGGTCCAGATTTCCTTCTTAGCGGGCTTCCAGTACTGCTTCCATCCCTCCTTCCACTCCAATTTCTTATCGGGCACCCAGATTTGCTTCTTGGCTGGCTTCCAGATTTTCTTCCAGTGCGACTTCCAGACCACTTTCTACGGGGTTATGGATTAGAGTGTTTAGGAGGCATTGAACTTTAGTAAAGATAATGTATAACTGACCTTCTTCCACAAATCGTGACTGGTGTACTCCCAACCTTCGTGATCCTTGCCTAGATATTTCTCGCCGGGAATGCCGACCTAGAAATTACAAGGTTTTTTTAATTTATCCACGCATGTTTATAAGAATTTTCTATATACCTTTACTAATTCTGGTGTCCAAATCTGCTTGTAATCGGGTACTTGAATGTCCTTCCAGGCGGGCACTAAAATCTCTTTCCAGTGTGGTACCTAAAATATATCCAAGAATCATTAGTACAATTCCAATGAGCGGTGGCTGTATAACTTACCCAAATTTGCTTCCAGGCGGGAACCTGAATCTCCTTCCAGCCGGGTACTTTCACCCAATGGGGCTTCCATATCTATAAAGTAAATAAGCTAATTAAATATCTTGGAGTAACACCTTTATTTAATAATTTAAAAAAAAAATTAATTCTCTGATAAAATTTCTTCACTTATTTTAAATAGTTCGCTCACCTTCTTCCACGAGGGGTTCCAGATTTGCTTCTTGGCCGGATTCCAGATCTTCTTCCAGCCCTCCTTCCAGGTGACCTTCTTCTTCCAGTACCCGGGGTCGTGGTGCTCGTGATGGTGTTCGTGGTGCTCGACAATGTGCTCATGGTGGTGGTCGTGGATCAGGGCATCGCCCAGTCCCAACCCCAGTCCCAGGTCGATCCTCTGCTGGGCAACGCTCTTGCTGTCCACCTGGGAAGCGGCAGGCTGCTGATCCACCACAGCCTTGGATTGACTGCCTCCGATGGCCCAACAGAGCACACCGAGCAGACCCAACTTAAAAAAGAAGAGGGGAAATAGATGTCATCATCAAACAATAAAAAGATAGAAATCAAAGGACTGAGAAAACAAACTGAGGAAGACAGGGAGATAGATGTAGTTACAACCAAACATTCAAAAGATACAAATCAAAAGACTGAGACAACGAACTCGGGCATGAAGAAAGCTTCAACAAATTGAATTCGCAACGATCATGTTAATGAATTCCATATTCTCCAAAGAAAGGTGAGTGACTGAAAACGAGTTTTAAGTGGGTCACAGTCTGGCATTGTTTTCTGAGACGGACAGAGAAATGTTGCATAACCCCTCTGGTGTCTATAATTTCATACAATGCCTGACCTGGGTCAAGAGAGCTAGTTGATGTCAAATCAGGCCAGGCCAAAGACTTTTCGGGCTGGCCCCTCTTTATTTGGTCAATTGTTTTATTATGCAAATGGGTTTGTGTATTGTTAGGATAAATATGGAACTGCTGGATAAATGACGCAAGCCCTCTGCATTTGGAGAATCCAACAAGGTCACAGCCAAAACGCCTTCGTGATTTCGCAAAATTAGCCCGATTTGTGGGTACAATTTCAAAATTTGAAAAGCCCACAACCTAATCCCAATCAATTTGCGCATAAATGTCAACGAGACCCCGATTACGAAATGGAAATTAGCGCCAGCAAAAATTATCTCATCGGATAGTGCTAATTGTAGCAGATCGATCGTGTCAGCTTCCTCACCTGGGTGGGCAGTGAAAGCTACGCAGACTGGTTTCGCCTGCAGTTGGATCATCGGTCGTGAGGGAAAAGAGTTTGCGACTCCGAGGTGCACCCCACCGCATGTGCCCACCGATATCCCCTGGTCGCTAATGAAACGATCGCGATTTTAATTGTTCACAATGCGGCGCCAGTCGGAAGGGAATCGGCGGGCAGTCATTTGGCTCTTAAGACGACTAATGAAAAATGCATGGATCGTGCTGTTGACAAACACAAACCGACAGGAAGAAAGTGTTTTCTTTGGTCCCCTTAAAAAGTATTTTCAAATGTGTTTAAAGGAAATAATATCAATAAATAAATTTTCCCAAAGAAAAGCTAATACTCGGAAGTGACTCAAGGCCATAAACATATTATTGAAAAGAAATAGTATCAAAGAAATAACTTTAGAGATTTTAATGGCAAAAATTTAAATTTTTGAATTCTTCTTTCTGCTTGTACTATTTTAAGTTTGTGAGATTTATTAAGGGCTTAATAACCTCTTTATTATTTATTTTTGTTTTGCTATGTTGTAACTAAATCCATTACACCTTAATCAAAAACAAATCTATTCCATTGAACAACTTTATTTAAATTCAATTACAGCTCCTATAACTACTCTTTATAACTAAATTTATCATGATTATTTACTTAACACCTCCCTCAAATACTAGCTCTATGTGTACCTTGTACTGAAATATTCAAAGTATATATCACCTTTTAAGCCAATCTTACCCAAGGTTTTGCAATTATTGTAGAAATTCACTAAAGCGCAAATCTCTAAAATTTATTGCCTATGCAAATACAATAAAATAATTGCCAACTTTGGGCCGAAAGCACCATTAGTTCCACTTGTGAAGCCACCACCCGCAACCCCAATTCCATGTTAATTTCCATTTCGCGACACTTTTCACAGTTTTTCGTTTTGGTAATTACCACAAAATGCCGCTGGATCCTCATGGCTCCCGATTGCAGCTGGTGAAACGCTTAGGTTGGGGCACTATCTGTATATGCACTTTTTGGCGGTCTCTTTAAAATGTAACACTGTTGCCACTTGGGATGGGCGGCTGTTACCACCACTTTGGCCACTTTCTTGGAATCGACTGTCGCGCTGAAGATCGGGCACCTACGGTTAAATACACACCGCGCAGGTGCAGTCGGCGATGTGAGAGCACTGCTCCTCCGACTCTCTAATTCTCCAGTGAAACTGAGAGTTTCAACTCGACCAGACCTTGAATTTTGATAACGGTTTCGTGTGTAAACAATGACGAAGCTTTTGCTCGCAAAGCTTTAAGCCGGCTTGCCTCTTTTTTGCCTCTCTTTTTTCGTACAACCCACTCTTTTGGCCATTTTTTCATACCTCTTTTTTTGGGAGCGAGACGTGACTTGGTCTGCAGGCTGCTCCAAATGTTGTAATCGCCCGAAAAGCTTATGGCCATAAATGTTATACATCTCAATAAAGAAAAAAGTTCAAAATCAACGACTACATTTAGGCAATGCAAATTAATAGCACGCAATGGGAAATCAACCAAACAAACAAACCAACCCAAAAGAAATATCCAAGCCTATTGCGTTTGTTTTCGGTTTTTCGGTTTTTTGTAATTATTGTTTTTTGGGAATTCTTATTGTCCAATCGCCCAGAAATCGAAGGTCGTCACGTCCACGTTTTGATATGCCCAGTGGTGTCGCATTAATTAGATGGTTTTTAATGTAATTTATTGTCCATTGAGGTCCAAAGTCGGTTAAGGGCAATGCTCGTGGACGTGTCTATGGCTCAGATCCCCATAAAGCCACTGCATTTTTGCATGTGCAAGCCAGCAATGTGGCAACACTTTAAAGACAATAGCCAGCATTTCTCATTTCATTTCATTTTCCGATTCATTTCCTGCCACATTTTCAATGGGATCCGCAAAACGAAGACATGCGGAATACCGCTCTTTAAATGGCTCGATTCATTTGGCCAAAAGCAAGTTAATTGCATGTTGATTTAATTTCGATTGAATGAGCAGCGGATAGCTCACCTGTTGGCCAGCTTATGGAGTTCCAGGTGCGTGCATGTACCTGGTCTGGTTCCGTTTCACTTAGTGGGAAGTGATCGGTTGCATAACATGAGTGGATCTATTAGTTTCATGGTGAACATACGGCATATATTATGCCACATCTCCCAGAGTTCTCCACTTGCCAGGACTTTCACCGCAGCCTTTCTCCCTTAATAGCCGGCCATCATTTTCCGCCACTGACAGCTAGTTCCACCCTCCGCACAAGGAAGTGCCAAACATGATTCACACACCAACAGCCAAACTGAAATCATATTAATATTCATCAATTTGAGATACATATAGAGCGGCCTGTGTGTCCCCTTTCAGGAAGTGGAGCCGCAAAACTGGACTGAAATGCGTAACAACTTGCCCATGGCCATGCGTTCGGCTTAGACCAAATCCTCCAGTTCCTCATCCTCCTCCTCCTCCTCCTCCTCCTCTTGGCAACTACATACAAGCTGCAAGCTTCAAACTGCAGACGGTGTTGAACCACTTTTACTTTCCCCCGCTCCGTTTGGCTAACAGCGTGATGTGGAGTTTTATTTATTTATTTATGC